TTTCTCACCGTGGCCCTCTGCAGCTTGCGGCGAGTTCTGTAGGTATCGATTTCTCCGCCTCGGCCTCGGAGGGCCCCTCCCATCGCGACCACCACCAGACCAATCCTTGCTCCATTGTCTCGACCAGCTTCATCTTGCCAGCCAGAGCCCGCCCGGCAGCACCCCATTCAGTCCATCATTCCACCCGCCCGTCTGAAGAGGAAACAGACAGGGACGCCGCCGCCCCGCAGTAGTCTGGCTACAACACGGCACCACGGCACTACGGCATCTCAACGACAACCTGGGACATGCTTCTCTCACCCCGCCATATCTGAGATGCCCTGCCAGCCTCTCTCCTCGTTACTTGGCTGAAGACATGATCGTCGCGACCTGTCCTGTCACGTCCTCGCCGGAGCATCACGATTCACCCTTCATCTAACCTACGATATCACACGTACCACTGCCATCCTTCAGCTTCAATCGCGAATCTCAAGCCTGTTCATTTCTTCGAATCTTCAAAGGCGCCCTTCGGCAACAGGTAGGTTCATGTCCACCATTCCCTCTCAGTTACCTCTGGTTGCGTACATCAAGAACCCTCGTCCGCAACTCCTATCCTATTTCTCCGCTCCATATCCATTGTACTTCGACATCGGCGGTTACTACATCGACACGCCGAGGTGCATGCCGCTTCAGTCTTCACGACCCCCACATCCTCTGGCCAGAGCACAGAACATCCATGTGCTTTTCCTCTTCCTTACCTGTGCCAGCCATGCCAGCGGCTCAAAAAACCAGGGTCTGGAAGATGGTGGGACTCTCATGCAGCTCCTCGGTCTGGTCCAGCCGGCCAGCCCTTCGCCTGCGTTGATCGGTCGAGTGACGTTCAGCTCGGGTGTCATGAGCTCACCCGAGGGTTCTCCCATCCACCGCACTACTTCTCCTTCACCTGTCTTACCCTGAATTACCAGAGATCACACCCACGTGCTACGGGCTTCTCAGTGACACCTTGTCCAGTCCCGAGCCATCTTGTTGAGAGACGACGTCAGTTCTTCAGGGACACGTTCTCGCTGCACGCCCTGGCTCTGTTGCTAATACCCATCAGGACTTACAGTATTCTACCTTGCTTCGTCGTCCCGTTGCTCTACAATTTACCCTCGTCTGGTGTTCGGGAGGCTCGCTCATCGTTTCTGTCGAGCTTCAACGTCATTTGTCACACCACTCCCGCCAACCATCCGGACCGCCGTGCGTCTCTGACACCCGCACATCATGTAAGCGATGCTTTTGTGACCTGTGGCGGCTGTACCGACATGAATCTGATAGGCTGCTGCAGGAAGTTCGGCAAGCAAATCCAGAAGCGCCAGCTGGAGGTCCCAGAATATGCCGCCAGCTTTGTCAACTACAAAGCCCTGAAGAAGGTACGTGCTCCCTCCCCACGCTCGATCCCAAACCCGCCTCGGCAGGTGCCTGTTCGGTTGCAGGAACTGTCAGAGAGGATTGGTCTGTACGGTCCGATCAAATCAGGACGCCCATCCCTCGAGCGTGGGTCTTGGAACCCCCGCGTACACGCACGGCAGATGTCCAGGATGAACGTCCCACTGACCCTACACATTTGCCTAGCTGATCAAAAGGCTCTCGGCTACCCCCATACTCACCGCTCAGAATGACGTTCACCGGAGCATCCCTGTGGATTCGCAAGCAGCTCTTCAGGCCAACAAAGCCACATTTTTCTTTCAACTGGTACGTCACCGATGATGGCTTGGCGCAATGAACATACTTTCGGCTTTACTTACTCGCGACCAGGAACGAGAGCTCGAGAAAGTTAATGCTTTCTACTTGCAAAAAGAGGCCGAGGTAAGATGGCATTGAGTGTATCACGTCGTATGGTGCTGAGCATCGATTCTAGCTCAAAGTTCGCCTGAGAACGCTCCTCGACAAGAAAAAGGTTCTGCAATCGCGGGGCCAGGGGTTTCCTCGTCGCTCTACCAAGTTTACAACACTCGAGGAAGGGTTTCAACAGTTTGCCAGCGATCTGAACAAGCTGCAACAATTTGTTGAGATCAATGGCACAGCCTTCTCGAAGATCCTGAAAAAGTGGGACAAGACGAGCAAGTCAAAGACCAAGGAACTCTATCTCTCAAGAGCAGTAGAGGTTCAGCCCTTCTTCAACGCTACCGTTATCAGCGAACTTTCCGACCAGGCAACAACAAGTTTGCAAGAAATTGGAGCTTGGTCTGAGGGCGATCATGTCACCTTTGAAGCCCGGACAGATCACCTGGTCAGCAGCCAGCATTTGCTGGGCACCGATGAAGGCGATGCAGATATATTCTTACTCGACACTGTGGTGTCTGGTAACCTTGAGGCATTGAAGGACCTGCTCTTGCGGATGCAAACTGCGTCAGCCGCCGCGGGCGATGGATCCAATGTGACTTTGATGGAGCGAGTCACCCGAACATTCCTCGCAGCGATTCACGATGGACCAAAGGAGTCTCTCCACCTTCTTCTCGGAACTGGCCTTGTTGACATTCAATCTGAAGATGACATCAATGAGCGAAACTGTCTTCATCAGGCTGCCATCTACGGCAAATCATATGTTCTCGAGTATGGGCTGTCAAAGGGGGTCTCCGTCAACCGCACAGATGTATACGGTCGTGTGCCTCTGCACTACGCCTGTATGCATGGACGTCTTGACATGCTTGATGCTTTGCTTAGTGGTAAGTTCTGGTGTCTTGAGCTGGAACAACATGATTGATGGTTCTTTAGGAGACGTCCAAACGAAAGACTTGATTGATCACGACAACTTCACACCTCTAATTCATGCCATCATCCACGGCCACCTGCAATGCGTCCAGAGGCTACTCGAAAAGTCAGCTCGCCTCGACCCCGTCTCGGACGCCGACCACGTGCCCCTGAACCTTGCCTGTGAACACGGCTCGTTGGAGATTGTTGCGCTTTTGTTGCAGCATGGTGCTAAGATTCTTCCTGACGCCGAGGGACTTTACCCTCACCACCTGGTGGCGCGATCGGGACAGACCCCTCAGCTTCTGTTGCTGTTGAAGCAGCACGGCGCTGACCTGGACCAAGTGGACAAACTGTACGGTTGGACACCGCTCGTGCACGCAGCAAGCGAGGGCAATGTGCCGTGTCTGCAGGCGCTTCTTGACGTTGGTGCTGATCCCAGCATCTTGGACGAGAAGGATCTACCTGCGATGTACTACGCAGCATGGGAAGGCCATCTGGAGTGCATGAGGCTGCTCGCACCGTTTAACAAACAGACGCGGGAGAGCCCACTCTTGCTTCAGCCTGCCTCTTCGTTGATGCCTCCAACGATGAGCAGCAGCGGCCCAGACGCCATGGTACTCGACCCTGATGCGATACCAGAGCTCGAGCTCCCTCCTCCGATCATTCCCCTCCGTCGCTACGGACACAATTTCCTCGACACTAAGACTGTCGTACAAATCAACTTTGAGGAGAACGGAGAACAACCACTCGTATTCTTCCACGACGGGAAGTACCCTGCTGCTCGACTCACTATTTCATCTAAAATGTTCGATCTCATTCCGAAAAACATCATGCTGCCTTTCCAAGAAGATACCCGACTCGCCTCCTTCCAGATTGACAATCTGGATAACTTTACGCTCGACTTCGATGTATTTCCAACGTACGGTGCCAAGATTATCGCCAAGACGGTCGCTCTACCGAACACTTTCAAGGCTCTTCTGAGCAGCTCCGGGAAATGCTGCTTGCCACTATTTGATCCAAGGCTGCGGGCGATTGGCCAAATCAGCTTCCATGTCCAGGTCATCAAGCCCTTCAACGGGAAGCCCCTAGAGATCACCGACTTTGAGACTTACTGGAAGGCAACAAGTCAATTCGACAGGAGTCCCAGCACGTTCATTACCGGTTCGAGCCTATCTGGCGACTTTGTGCGAGTCTTCGTCCAACATACCAGCGACGGTGTACCGGTGCTCTGGCCCAGATGGACAATACCGTGTGGCGGCATCGACCTACCAGTGTGTCGCTTGACTGCGGATCAATTCACCACCATCACAGCCCGAAGCCCAAGTCGAGCAGAGCTCTCGACGTTGCGTACCAAGTCGATGGACGGTATCGCCGACATTCACCGAATCCTTGCGACAGCGGGTGTGCCCTTGGATGAAGCCCTGTCGCTGCTTCCTCACGGCATGCATGTCAACATCCAAGTCCTCTACCCGACGACAGAGGATGAAAAGGCGTTTGGACTCGGCTCCACCTTGGACATGAACAGCTTTGTCGACGCTATCCTGACGATTGTCTTCGATCACGCCCGTGCGCAGCGTGCGCAATCCCTCGAGTCTGTCCGCTCCGTCGTCTTCAGTTCCTACAATACCAACCTATGTGCTGCACTTAACTGGAAGCAGCCTAACTTCCCCGTCTTCTTGTGCAATGACCTGGGGCGGGAGGAGCCCATGGCGGCACCTGATATCATTCAGAGCCACGGGCGGCGATCGACGTCCATCAAGGAAGCGGTCAGGGTCGCGCAAAGCAATAACTTCATGGGCCTCATTTGCTGCTCGCGTCTCTTGGTACATGCTCAACACATCTTATTCGATGCTCACAAGCTAACACGATACATAGGACATGCTTCCAGCACTCGTAGATGCGATCAAGTCACACGGCCTTGTGCTCGTGACCGACAAGTCGTCGGAAGCGACGTCGGCAGTAAACTCCATGGCGGACCCATTTCCAAAGCTGCCCAAAGGTGTGGACGGCGTGCTAAAGGGGCACAGCATCTTGCGATTCAATGAGTCGATCGATATGGAGTGATCATGAGCTTAGAGCGTGAGAATTCCCGCGGGTTGATAAGCGAGGTGATTGTGAAATAGACCACTGGTACGGAGTTGGAATGGACAGCACCTGACGTCTCGGAGGGAGGCATGAAATGGCACAAGATAGTCACGATTTGACAATTATTTCTTCTTCGCGAATTGTCGCATTCCTTTGCATGCTCTTCGACCACTGCTTCAAATTTGCATCGGCAGGCTGCATCACGCCCCCTTGTAATCATACTTCAACGCACTCAGTTCGCCTTCCGGGTCGACGCTTCCCATGACCACCTTGGCGACAAGAACAACAGTGTAGACGACCGCCGGCCAGTACCCCAACAACCCGCTCGCCTTGCCCCTCGAGAAAGCCCCTGTCAGTGCGACGACGGCACAGAGACCCAGATTCAAGAGCGGCAGGTATGTGTCGAGCGGCCCTCCCTCACTCAGCACGAACGGTGCCGCGCCACGCCTCTGTCTCTCGCGCCGCGCGGCCGCGGGACGGAGCCAGTCATCCACGACGCGAAGGCCGGTCTTATCGGGCTGTTGGCTGTAGAGGAGATAGGCGGTGGCGAGGAGGGAAGTCATTGCCAGAAGGGCGGGGAAGGAAGGGGGGAAGGCGAGAATGTAGGGGAGGATCGAGACGAGGGGCAGAGGCAGGAGGAGCAGTCGGAAGGTTGCGTTTCGGGAAGCGTTTTCGGCCGTGAGGCGGGCGATGAGGGATTCTTGTTCTGTGGTTTCGCGTCAGTTTTGTCCCCGGGTGAGAAAGAGAGATAGAGAGAGTATGTGGCGGGAAGGGCAGTACCTTGCTCGTCTATGGCTTCTGGCTGAGAAGAGTCCGAGTCTGAGTCGGCGGGGTAGTGGAATGTCTTTCGGAGACGGGCGGATGCGCCTCTCGTCGCCATGGTGCTAGAGTGAGATGCCAAACGATACGACCTCGGTATCTTTATGACCACTGAACGGACGAAGAGAAGCCAAGTTGGCCACGAGCTACGGTGTAGAGCTAGGCTGTTGGACAGAAGTCGAGGCTCCCATCGAGTGCTCACAGCCTTATGACGAAACAGCAGGCGACAGCTTGTGTCTGATTGGTTGAAGCTTGACAAGGCTTCGATTTGTGATCTGGCCCCACTTTGATACCCTTGTCAACTTTTCTGTCTCGCCTTTGGAGCGCATCGCCTGATCAGAGGGACCCGAGACCGACGACACTGAATGCCACCAGCGAGTCACCCATGTCTTCACACGCCGCCATGATCAGCAGGCTTGCCAGCAGACGCGCCTTGCAGTCGCTGCGCGCCCTGCCGACCGCTACAGCCAATGCTGCCAAGGGCACGAGAACGCCTCTTCAGCAAAGATGGATGACGGCTGCGCCGAAGCCCGGTCAAGGACCCTTGATGGAGCGCCGTGCCGACCGTGAACTTCCAGGTACATTCTTTTCTGTCATATGCATGGTCTATCTGTGACAATAGCTGACGGCCATGGCCTAGACCTTGCCTCGACGACCTTCCGCTGGTCCCGCTCCTTCCCCATCTTTGTCGTCATTGTCGCCGTCTCGTCGCTCGCCATCTTCAACTACCAAAAGTCCTCTTCGCCCGTCGTATCCTCGACGCTCTACGCCCTGCGCGTCTCTCCCAAGGCCCGCGAGCTGCTGGGAGATGAGGTCTACTTCAAGCACCAAATCCCCTGGATCAGCGGCGAGATGAACCAGCTGCACGGACGCATCGACATTGCGTTCAGCGTCAAGGGCTCTCGCAGCGAGGCCGTCATGCGGTTCGCGAGCTACCGTCTCTCGCACAAGGGCATGTTCGAGACGACCGAGTGGAGCCTGGAGATGCCGGACGGGCGCAAGATTGATCTGCTCGACGGCACGGATCCGTTCAAGGGCATCGTCGGCGGAAACGACCTGGACGACTATGAGGAGGAGGTCGCCTCGGCGGCGACCAGGGGCTTCAGGCAACAGCCGAAGCTCAAGTAGATGTACAACCAGGACGTGGCTTGAGAGGCTTTTTGAACAGAAAATTGTTTAGGAGATGGGCTCTTCTTGAAAGAGAGAGAGAGAGCCTTTTGTTCTGGCGTGAGGGCCCGCAGAACGCCTCAATGATATGCATAGATGTACAACAGTGTGTATAGTACAATTTCAAAGAAAAAAGGACAACCCCGGGGATCAACAACTCGTCTCGTACATCGCTTTCTTCCCACTGTCATCACCGTCACTGCTACTTACCAGCAGCAGTTCGTGTTTACAATAGATCGGGTCGTGACCTCCTCTCCTCCTTCATGACAAGATGCCTCTCCCGCGCCTCCTGCAGCTTGACCTCGGCATCGGCATTCTCCTCCAGCAGCGCCGATAGCGTGGCCTCGCGGTGGGGCTGCGTGGGCGCCTTCCTCTTGACAGCGTCCTGCAGCTTGACGACGCAGCCCTTGGGGCCGGCCACGGGGCCGCTGACGACGACGATGCCGAGCTCGTTGTCGACCGACAGCACGGTCAGGTTCTGCACCGTCGTCTGCTGGTTGCCCATGCGTCCCGGCATCTTCTTGCCGGGCAGCACCCTGGAGCCGGAACCCTGCGAGGGGCCGGCGGTACCCATGGTCCTGTGGTTCTTGGAGTTTCCGTGGGAGGCCGGCTGGCCGGCGAAGCCGTGCCTCTTCATGCCACCGGCGAAGCCCTGGCCGCGGCTGTTGGAGCGGACGTCGACGTACTGGCCCTTCTGGAACCAGTCGGGCCGCAGCTGGGCGCCGACGGGCAGCAGGCCGTCCTCGCCCTTGACGCGAAACTCGGCAATGTGGCGCTTGGGGAAGACGCCGCGGGCCTCAAAGTAGCCGAGCAGCGGGCGCGTGACGTTGCGCGGCTCCTTCTGGCCGAGGCCGACCTGGACGGCCCAGTAGCCGTGGGTGGCGCGCGTGCGCGAGGCGAGCACCTGCACCTGGTCGAGCTGCAGCACGGTGGCGGGCACGCGCTTCTTGCCGAAGAAGACGGATGTCATGCCCTTTTTGATGGCGAGGACGCCGGTGCGCAGGGGCGTCGTGAGCTCCTTGCGGGCGAGGGCGGCGGCTGGACCGGCGGTCGGGACGGGCAGGCCGGCGGACGGCTGGTTGAAGCGGGCGGGCTTGGAGCGGTGAGGGAGGGTTGACCAGCCAGCCGTGATGCCGCGCTGGCTGGTTCTCGGGAGGAGGAGGCGAGAGGGGAGGGAGAGCGATGGTCGTGCGGGCAGGCGCAGGGCCTGGAGGCAGGATGGCGGGAGTCGAGGCGCCATCGTGCCTTGTTCTGAGATGTGAAGTCGTAGGTCGCCGAGGGGAAGAAGAAGAATGGTCGGGAGCCTGTGTCGAGGGCCTCAATGGGGGCGATGGAGCTGTCGGTGGGTGGTCGTTGGCGATGGAGTTTCGACGACGACGAATTGTCTGACCCAAGGCCAATGGAAATTTTAGCGACCCTGACTGAGGTTGAGCTCAGCGCTTCCTCGACATGGTCCGTGCGTTTTGTGTCGTGTTAAGCGCGTTGGCGCCGGTGGAGTCAACTCACCTCCTCCAACACCTGGAGTAACAGCATATCGACATTGTCCTTGAGCACTTCACATGGCTCAGGAGAAATTATTCCATTGTCTATACTTACTTAAGTATCTCTCGCATGTCTCTGCCTCGACATAAGATGCTGTCTGAGGCAAGTTGATATGAGCTTCCCCGACGTGCGGCGTCAACAGCCAGAAGCAAGACGCCAAAGCATCCAGATTCCCATGACCACTTCGAAGTTGAAGGCATGCCACGAGCTGTTATAATCAGAGGTGATTATGGTTACAAGTCTCCGCGGTAGACTTGCCAAAGCGACACTGGACGATGCCTCGCTGCTCCAGCCACTGGAAGCACTTCTGAGCCAAAGTACGATTTTCAACCGAGCCTTCCTCTGGCAAAATGTCCGTTCCATGCAACTGTCATACACAAAATATGGAGGAAACTCAACGCCCTGCAATAATCACGCCAAAGCTGCTACAAGCTAGACATGGTTTCCTGTCTATGCGAGGCGGCCGCGTCATCGTTGCTCTTCAAGAGATTTCTGACACAAAGGCAGCATGTGTTTCGTTCTGTCTGTTGATTTCATCTTGTGCATTTTCGCACTGCAAAGACAATCACCGCTTCCCAGCCTGTCATCACGAAGACCGGAGAAGTTGCACGGTGTAATGGCTGATGCTGCGATTAGACATGGCCTGAGCAATGGCGAAGCAGGGTTCAGACATCAGACGCCATGGGTTGATGCGAGGCACAGTCGCTGACACCAAAAAGATTGGGGTTGCTTTATTAAACTCGATTGCACTGTCTAGGCTCCTACCGCATCTATCACCCGGCCAGGCTTCTTATCATTGCCAGGCACAACGAACCGAAGCCCTCGCCGTAGGCTAGCAGCGCGATCAACTGTTGTTGCACGCCGTAAAGTGGTCGAGGGCCCTCTGCGCGATGGTCTGGTCGGCCAGACTCCCCTTGACATTCCTCTCGCCCTTGACGGCCGCGGCGACGGTCTTGAAGAGGTCACTGTCCTTGTTGGCGAGGTCGGGATTGGCGGCAACGGTCTGGCGCCAGTCGATGCGCTCGCTGCTGGCCTTGGCATACGCGCTGTTGCGCTGGATGATCTTCCACTGCACCTCCCTGATCTTCCTGAGGCGGTCGAGCATGTTGCCCTCGCCCCGGGCCAGCGAGTAGTGCTTGATGCTGCCGAGCGTCTCCATGACGTTGGCCCGCTTGCGCCCGATCGAGAAGTTGTTCGACGCCGCTTTCTCGTAGTTCTTGTTGGAGATCTTGGCGAGGTCGTTGAAGACGCCGACGGCCGTCTTGCGGCCCTTGACGAGGCGCTCGATCTGGTCCGGCTCGCTCACCTTGCCCATGCGCCTGAGGGCGTCGACAATCGCGGCGATGTCGCCTGGGTAGAAGGCAAATCCGGACGAGATCTCGTAGTACCTGGGCTCGCTCGTCGGCTTGCCCGTCTCGTAGTAGTTGACAAACTCGTTGAAGTTGCAGCGGCCGTCTTTGCCGGTGCCCTTACACCGTTGGGCGATGGTGTTCTTGCCCTGGCCGTTGACCTCGACGTCGAGATCGTAGGTGACGTAGTAGTGGAGGACCCGCGCTGCTTCCAGGGCCGAGATCTCGGCCACGCACGTTTGGAAGGCGGCCAGCAGGCCTAGGACAGTGGGGAAGAGTCTCATGGCGATGGAGAGAGGTGTCGAGTGAGACGTGATGCAAGCAAAATGCTCGACAGAGGTTCGACGAGGTGTTCTGAGACGAAATCAAGAGAGAGCCAAAAAGCAAGGATATGGTGTGTTCGGCTGTGGTCGGTCACAGAAGAGGGAGTATAGGAGCCCCGAACCACTTGACGCGGGACCGGATGGGAAGAAGGACGGTGCCTTGTCCAGACATGGCCAGATAAAATGGTTCAGCAGCGATGTCTAGCCCTGCTCAGCTCGATTCTTACTGACGACCAGTCCATGTAGATGTTGACGTCCACAGGGATGCGTTCGGGGTGACCAGGGAGGGGGTGCAAATGTGCGGTGCCCCTGTCACCGGCAGAAAGATCCATGCATCTTCATGAGGTGCCAAGCGGGGCTGGGCTTCAAGGATGAGGTTTGGAGGATTGAGATGCCAAGGATGCCATAAGACCAGGGTGGTATCGTTGCAGCAGAGAGCTTCGGATCTCAATCGACTACGTACCACGGGCCGTGTGTTCTGTTCTCGAACGATGATCATGTCAGCAGGCGAGCGAAAATTTCAATGCCCCTCGTTCGGCCCTTGGCAGATCCTCCTTCCCGTGGTTGCATGGTCTCTCTCGTCTGAGCAAGGGAGAGCTTACTCCGCCTGTTGTGCTCCTCTCTTATCTTTCCTCGGCGGTGTTGCCACCCTGTCGGGTGGGACATCGTGGTATTTGGTCACCTCGGTACAATATATCACATGGAGTACGGTGATGTTGAGGTCAGGCTTTTTACTGCTGACTTGGCATAATGTAGGGAGCTAGCCACTCGCCACTCTTCCGGAGGCTTGCAGGATGACATGCGAATGTCGATCTGGGTCAAGAGGTCATACCCTTCGATCCCAGGCTAAGATTATCATCGTTGAGTGTGAGTTTGGTCACGTCTGATATGAGGGGAAACTCCAGTTACATGTAACACTACTTGAAGGAAAGAAGTGATATTCGAGTCTTGTTGTTTGACGTGAACTACTGAGAAACGAAGGTAGACAAGATGCCTTACTCAGACTATACTACCACCTGAGGATAGACTTCGTCTGCAGTATCTTACTTTGTGGGCGATATTCTACATCTAGATCATCATCCAGGCAGGGCATTCTCAAACCCACTGGCTTAACCCAGACGCTACCTAAGCATACCGGCAAAGGTCAAGCTTGGGGGGCCTCTTCTGAGCGCTGGATGCGATGCCAGCCATCTTGCTGGCCTGGGGGCTGATGCGCGCAATCTGTTCAGCGCTCATGTCACGCCTCAACTTGGCCGCCTTGCCAACGTTGGTGGCGCTACGGAGGTTGGTGCCGCTCATGATGAGACCAAAGATGAGGAGAGGAATGGTCTTGGGATCGCTCACGGCCGTGTAGAGACCGAGACCAGTGTTTCCGGCCTCGGAGAGGCTCACAAGCGTGCGGCCGAGGAGACGCAGGCCCGTTGAGGCGGCACCGGCCGCGACGCCGCCGAAGCCGCCGACGACGAGGAGCACGGCCGAGAGGAGATTCGTGATGAGGGCGATTTTGTTGGCCTCCTCAATGTCTTTGCCCATCTCGACGACGTTTTCCATGTGTTCGAGACCCGAGTACATCATGAAGATGGGCAGGACAAGGGCGTCGATGAGGTCAAAGGAGTCCCCGTCGTACTCATCGGCGGTCACGGACAGCTCGTACTCGGCGAGGATACTCTCAATGTTGACGTTCTTGAGGGTCGAGCTGATCTCCGTCTTGGGGTTGAAAATGTCCTCAACAGTGAAGCCGGTGCCAATGGTCGGGGCATTGTGCCACCAGTGCTCGCCTTGGCAATCGCCCTTCATGGCTTCGTACGACGTGTCGCCGCCGGGCTGGCTGCCGAAGCACATCTCAATGGCGAGCCTTGATTTATAATGGGGGCGGTGCTCGGGGTAATAGATGTCTTCCTCACCAACGCCGACGACGGTCGAGATCTCGTTGACAAAGTCCTTCTTCGTCTCGTCGCTCTTGTAGTCCCAGAAGATCGATGCCATATAGTACTTCGAGGGATCCATGCCGCGCTTCGAGTAGTCGGGAGGGCAGGGCATCTTCTTCTTGCGCCACTCCCAGCCCGGGTGTCCACTCCCTTTGACATCGCAGTCGTTGATGCAGTTATGGCAGTTGTGGCGGTTGAGGTCCTCGCACCCGGGACAGCAGGGGAACTTGGAGAAGATCTCGCAGTTGAAGTAGTCGTTGCCCTCGTCCATCATGAGCTGCCAGAGAGCCTCGTGACGGTTCGTGAAGACGTGATCGGCATACAAGCGGAAGTACTTGTCGTAACCGTCGCCGAGGATCTCCTCGAAGCGCTTCTTGACCTCCTTAAGCATGCTATGCAGCACGGGGATGAGGTACTTGCCCACGCAGTGGGGTGGTATCTCGTTCCTAAAGTCGAGGTTGTAGATGTTGTCCATGGTCGTTGGTGAGTACGGACACGGCTCGAGCGACTTGTCGTCGTTGGGATCCGGCTCGTAGTCACTGTCCTCACCATCATCCTCGCCACGCTCGCCCTCACCCTGGAGATCGACAGCCCAGTCAGAAGTGCCGCCCATGTTGAGAGACTCATAGTAGCTGATGCGTCGGCTCTTGGTCGTCTCCGTCATGTAGGCCACCCACTCGACGCGTTCGTAGACGAGGTAATCCGAGTCCGTTTCGGCGTCATACCACGACTTGATAGCACCACCCTTCTTGATAATTTCATCAATCTCGAAATTGGAGATATAGCCCCCCTCACCGGTGCAACGACCCTTTTTGGCAGGCGACTGGTTGCGAGCACCCAGGAACGTACACTGCGGTCCACGGCAACCCGCGTCGGACATCTTGAAGGAGCGACCGTAGCTTGTGACACCGACGACAATCTTGTGTGTCGGCACGCCGGCCTTTGTGATCATGACGAGGCTGTCTTGGGTCGTTGTCGAGTTGACATGGGAGCGTAGACACGTGCCAGAGTCACAGCCCGGCATCGCCCACTTGTTGCCGACGTCCCACTGTCCATGAAAGTCGTACGTCATGTAGACAATGTAGTCGAGCACCTCGGCCATCTTCTCAATGGGGAAGCTGCGGAGATACCAGTATGAAGACGCTGCGGCAATGGAAAGTGTCATGTCCGAGGGCAGCTTGGAGCGAACGAGCTTGAGGAACTGGTAGTAGTTCTCGCCGTCCTCCGCCTGACCGGGAGGCGAGCCTTCAATATCGGTGGCACCGGGGTACTCCCAGTCAAAGTCGAGGCCCGAGAGGCCGTTGTCTTTGGCAAACTTGACCACGCGGTCAGAAAAGGCCCCCCGATTTCCAGGGCTGACAGCCTGACGGAACAGACCGGCACCGGGGCCTTCATTGGAGAAGGCCCAGCCGCCAAAGGCGAGGATCTTCTTGGGATAGTCCTTGGCCGCCACAAAGAGATCCCATTGCTTCTTCTGGTCATCGGGGATGACGACTTGCATGCTGGATGAAATCTCGGCAAAGGCAAAGTGGACGTGAGTGTAAGACCGGTCCACGTCGAGGACGTTCATGTTGAGGCACGGACGCTTGAAGTTCCAGGCCTCATAGTAGGCAATCTTGCGGAACTGGGCCGGCTTCTTCGAGTTGTTGACAATCTTGGTGCCGCAACTTGACTGGCAGCCGTTCTCGCCGGGCTTGGACGTGCCAGGGTTGCCCGTGGCCGTCTTGGAGATGGTGCAGAAATCGGACGTCGTTCCGCAGTTACCCCACACGTTGCAGCAGACCTTGAGCGGGCAAGGATTGATGTCGGCGAGGGATGTGCCGTCCGTCGGTAGCTTGGACCCGGGCTTGGTAGGGCCACACTGCGCGTCCGGGTACGACGCTGGGATGGCCGGCTTGCCAGAGCTGACACATATGCGCTGCTTGAGACCGAGGCCTCCAGCACAGCCATCCCAGCCCCAGGTCTTCTCGTTCATCTTCTCGAGGTCCTGCTCTTTGAGGCCGTGCTTGGCTGCTACAGCCGCGCAGCCCTCGTTGGCTTCGACGGCGTATGTAGCGCACGAACCGTCAGCCTGGGGCTTGGGCTTGACGTCAGGCAAGGTACCGGATGAGCAGCACACGGGCTGGCCGGGCTTGAGCGTCGAGCAGAGGTTAGATGTTCCCCTGTTGAAGCTCTCAAAGGCTGCTCCACCAATGCCGCAGCGCGATGCCAGCTTGCCGCAATCGTCGTTGTCCACAACACGGATGCTGCGGCAGTCGGCCCTCTTGCGAAGGCGTCCGGCCGAGGTCGAGGATTCGATGGGAGGCGACAGGTCAAAAGACCACAAGTCGCTATCCTTGAGGGGTGTGCTGTTGACCTCAGGCTTGTCTGACATGCATTGGCCGTTGCTCCACGTCTTCATGATCTTCTGAACGGCGGCAAAATCACCACTGCCGTCGGCCACGACACCAAAGGTATCGGCTGACGATCGATGACCGCCGCAGACTTCAAGGGCCTTGCGAGCCGTGGGCGAGGAGGCTCCCTTCATCTCGCTGGCCAGCTTCTTCAGCATGGATGCGGATGTTTTTTTCTTGTCGATAAGGCCTCCCGCGTACAGGCCAACGAGGGTACCGCGGAGATAGGCAAAAGTGATGAGCTCATCGCAGCTCTTGTCTTTACTAACATGGGTCGACAAGTGTTCGATGGCGCGCCCAACGTCGGGCTTGGTGTTCTCATTAGACTCAGCAGCCGGCGTAGTAAGACCAGCATCTGAGATGTCGCGGCCAGCATCCCACGACGAGAGCAGAGCCGTGACCTTGGTGTTGTTGGGAGTGTCCAAGCCGCAAGTGGCCCCGTCCCCGACGACCGTTTCGTTGATACTGCGACGGGAGGGTCCATCGGGGCCAAAATTGGTCTCGCCCTTGGCATCCGGGGCCACATACTCCGTCTCAGCGAGGAAGTTGTCCTCGGTAGAGGCATCACCGAGAGTGCAGGCACGGATGCTGATGACGGACTTGGGATCATCAAGCGGCGTGTAGAGGTTGAAGGAGAGGAGAACCGGCTCGGGACAGACAGCGAGGCCTTCCAAGTCGTGAAAGTGGCTCCATTCTTCGAGATCGCTGCCAGCCTTGTCGCAAGATCGAGGGCATGTCTTGACATGCAGAATGCGATTTTCTGAGACTGGGGTAAGGGACTGGGTTGGTGATGCCATGACCGCCGTTGCCGGCAGCAGCGGCAGCAGCGGTAGTATCTTCGACCACATGGTGTCGAGCTACCTATTAGCAGGTAATTAAAAGTAAGTAAAACAATGACTGTACAGGCAACCTGACGAGAACCCGATGAAGAGAAACGGAAGAAGAAGATCAAAGGGCAGTGACAGACCAAGCACCGTTAAGAGTTTGGTCTTGTTCGGCATGCGCGGGCAAACCAAGTGGCTGCGGCAGTTCTCGACTCAATCTTCTATCTCGTGTGAATGGTGTCCGTCCATGTCCGCGAAGGAGTTGCCAAGCCAGCTTACCATGGGCTTGCCTGCTGACTTTGAAGAATCATGTGAGATGAGAACTAGACCGTCCCTTGCCAGGATAGCAGCAGGCCGCTCGCCCGTGTTGTTCCGTCGCATTGCATCGGAGTGGGAACAACGTGATCCTCAATCCTCGAGTGTAACCATCGTGGCCACAAACATGATCTAGGCCGAGGGTCCTCCCTGAGTAACGCATCCTAAAACTATGAGCGAGTAAGTGTGTATGCGCTTTAAGATGACCGGAAGGTCAGTCCGGGGCTCTCGGCGATGAATGAACCCCCTGTCGATTCTCAACTGCATCCCCTCCCCACGATACTGGTGAAGAGGGTCTTCGGATGCTCCCGTTCGCTCCACCCTGGCCAGCATGACCTATTCGGGCAGCTCGTTACCAGCCCTAGTGCTCATCGTTGCATGGTACCTTGCTGATGCCCACGCACTTACTATCCATCATCTGCAGGCCAAGAGCCGCCGCTAATGTTCAGGACGACATAACGAGCAGCCAAGCTTCCTTCGATGATGCCAAGTGCCGAGAGACGCGCGAGTTGCTTGAATCATTCGTCTATTTTCTTCAGCCGAAGGACGTGGCGAGCGGCCGGTCGAACTTTGCCAAATTTGCCCCCTCTTTGGACTGCAAATGCTTGTCACAGGCCATGAGCCGCGGCCGGCTTCATCTCCGTCCTAGAAGAGGGTCAGGGTGTGGGTTTGATGGCATTCTCGCACCTCCGCCAGCATGCGTGGCACATTTCGATACCCACAGCTGCTGGGAGGGAAAAGGCACCGGTCTGTCCGGCGCAGGGCCTGTTCGGGACCCCTCAGTGTACCCCTCGCCAAGCGGTTCGAGGTGGTATTGGAACACAGGGTTTGGATCCTGCGCATCGTTTATTGACCGAGCTTGTCGACATTATGGCAGGTGACCAAGTGAGACCCTGGGTATTTTGCCCCTTTAAGCCATCGTGGGTACCGGGTGGGTGGGTGTCAGTCAAACAATCACAGAACGAGGGCTTTTGCCTCTGTCGGTCTGGGACGCCTTGGCGATTATGGATTGAGTTGGCCCGTCTACCCAAGGGTAGGCAGCTTAGAAAGTCGTCTGCGGTCAAGATTGTCATTGCCAGTACAAGCAGAAATGGCATGAGTCCTTGGTCGTGGAAAGACTCTGGCGATGGAGAGAATATAAACCCTGACCCAGGCCTCATACTGGCTGTTGCTTCATCGTGCTCACCATCTTGACGCAGACTCGTTGTCCATCGACCCCCCTTCCCTTGAGAATGCCTTCTGTCACAATCTCTTCCACTATGCTGGCAGGCCTGCTGCTCATGCTCGTGCCAGCATCATCTGCCGCCCCCCGGCCCCAGGCACGTGAGGATGTGCCGATGAGGTTGCTGCAGGATGCCAAACCGGCTTTCCCTTACGACCCAAACACCATTGCCAAGTGCTCCTGGTGGTGGGACAACGAAGGCCAAATCCCATGTGCCAACATGCCGGCTGAATGGGGCATTACCATGCAGGACTTCCTCCGATGGGTAAGGCCACCTCCAACGTATTCTTTGTAGCGACTGTGCTGACACCGTCGCCAGAACCCGTCCATCACTTCATCCTGCGGAAACTTTCTCAACGGTCGTTCGTACTGCGTGGAAGCCTCTGGCGAGGAGCCACCGGTGCCCGGCACGCCGACGACAACGACGGCGCCTGCCACGACGACCAAGCCGTCGAACGGCATCACCACCCCTCAGCCCATCCAGGACGGCATGGTCGGCAACTGCAACAAGTTCCACTACATCTCCGAGGGCGACAGGTGTCAAGACATTCTGAGCTACCAGAAGATCACCCTGGCCGACTTCTTCAAGTGGAACCCTGCCGTCAAGAGCGACTGCTCGGGCCTCTGGTCCAAGACGAACGCCTGCGTCGGCGTCGTCGGCCAGGCTCCCGCCGTCACGACGACAACGACCAAGCCAGCCACGCCCACGACCCCGTCCAACGGTATCACGACGCCGCAGCCCATCCAGGCCGGCATGGTCGGCAACTGCAACAAGTTCCACTACATCTCCGAGGGCGACAGGTGTCAAGACATTCTGAGCTATCAGAAGATCACCCAGGCCGACTTCTTCAAGTGGAACCCTGCCGTCAAGAGCGACTGCTCGGGCCTCTGGTCCAAGACGCACGCCTGCGTCGGCGTCATCGGCGGCCAGGCGCCGCCCCCGACGCCGACGACTACGAAGCCGACGACCACGAAGCCGCCCGGCAACGGCGTCACCACGCCGACCCCGACGCAGCCCGGCATGGTGACCAACTGCAACAAGTTCCATTTCGTCTCGCCGGGCAACACGTGCCAGCAGATTGTCAGCTACCAGAAGATCACCATGGCCAACTTTGTCAAGTGGAATTCGGGCGCCGGCAGCGGGTGCAACAACCTGTGGGGCAACACACATGCTTGCGTTGGTGTGTTTTGAGGATCTGGATGAAGGTTACTTTTTTGAAGTGAAGAACACACGAGTGTTGAACTCGGAAGAGAGGGGGTTTGTCTTCACGTGTACATTTTTTTGACTACATACCTTGACGAGTCGCAAACGTTGGCCATTAAGGTCATCTGATCAATGCACGGTGTTTTTGTTAAAAGTTGAATTTGGTCTCAATGTAGGCAATTGAATGATGCAAACCCAGCTTGTTGAGTCCAGGGGCCAGCCGCGAGTTGTGGCGTAGCTTTGGAGAGATGAGGAGTGGGCAGTGTGGCAGGGACTTGAGAGAGGTGTAGGAGATGTCTAGATACCTAGGTAGATACCTTAAGGTAGGTACCTGGCAACAGCCATGTTGGGCGACCTGTTCGCAGGTGGCTGTATGCTTCAAATGCGTTGCTTCGCCCATCAACTTCCAAGGCCTTGGTCAATAAGTCATCTTGGCTCTCCAAGCATCAAGCTATCAGCTCACCTCTAAGTGCTGCGGCTCTCTGACGAGTCTGGTCACAACAGACTCAAGGACATTCTTTGTCCTTCATGTCCAATTACATCAGCATTGGGAGGTGGCCCTGACATGCTAGAATTGTTGAAGTCAAGACGAATCATCAACAAGAGATTCAATCAATGTGCCTCTCGTTATCTCGATCTGGCCCTGTTCTTCTCTGTGTGTTCCTTTTGGCTTCCTTCTCAAATTCTTAATACGGGCGACGAATCTGTCAATATGAATGGCTTCGCTGGCTACCCACCCTGGAAGTAAGTTGTGATACTCTTGCTTGAATCTACACCGCCTACCCTGAATCGATCTCAGAGCCCACATCTTCAAGGCGTCGACCAACTTACATAAACATGCTGTTCCCATCTCAGACATGTCTGACAAAGCCAGGGAACCCGGAGAGGGCCGAGACGGACGTATAGCGATTGATTGGAACGAGAGGACACGCGCCGGGTAGGAGCGGCTGTCATGATCGGAGTGAAACGAGCATCGGCCGGCGGGTTTGGGGCAGCCGATCCACAGGGCGTGCGGAGAAGGGAGCGTGATCAGCCCAACAAGGGAACGAGACGCCCTGGCCCAGCACATTCCGGGCCTAGGATCACGCCCTATTGAGGGGCTCGCCGTCCAACCTCATGGTACCCCCCGGCATTCGTGCGCCTTGTCGATACCGTAGTTGGGGTAAGGCGAGCTCATATAAAGCCTGTTTCCTGTAATGCATGCTTCAGTGGAGAAAGACATGATTCTTGATACTTCATCTGTCCTTTCCCCTCTCGCAAGTTACAACCTCATATCGAGCTCACCTTGACTGATCACACAATGGCTTCAACAGTGACGCTCGCAGATTACCTCTTTGGGCGCCTACGCCAGCTGGGTGTCGGCTCGATCCACGGTGTGCCTGGTGACTACAACTTGGAGCTCCTGGACTACGTCGAACCGGCAGGCCTGCGCTGGGTCGGCAATGCGAACGAGCTCAACGCCGCCTATGCTGCCGATGCTTATGCGAGGATCAAGGGCATCGGCGCCGTCATCACCACCTTTGGCGTCGGTGAGCTGTCCGCCGTCAACGGCATCGCCGGAGCCTACGCCGAGTTCGCCCCCGTTGTTCACATTGTTGGCATCCCGCCTCGCTCCTCCATAGACGGCCGCCTCCTGATTCATCACACCTTCAATGATGGCGAGTATCGTCGGTTCGCGGCCATGCATGCCCATGTCACGGTGGCCCAGGCCTGCCTTACCGATCCACGGACGAGTGCTGAGCAGATTGACGAGGTCCTGAGGCAATGTCTACTGTACAGCCGGCCTGTGTATATTGAGGTCCCCGTCGACATGGTGGCGAAGCCCCTCTCGGCCAGCAGGCTCGAGACCCCCATCGAGGTTCCGCAAGGCGAACAGGACGCCGAAGAGAACAATGTGCTCGAAGCGGTTCTCCAGAAGATCTACGACGCGAAGAAGCCCATCATCTTTGTCGACGGCGAAAGCAGACCCCTGGGCATCTGCAAACAGGCCGAGCAAATCGTCGAGGGGACAAAGTGGCCGACGTGGACGACGCCTTTCGGTAAAAGCCTGACTAACGAGACTTTGACAAACTTCCACGGCATCTACCAGGGCAAATACGACGACCCGGCAGTGCAGAGCTTCATCGGCGACGCGGATCTCATCCTCATTTTTGGCCCGCACTTCAGTTCCACAAACACCAGCGCCTGGTCCAGCATCCCCAACGGGGACGTCTCGGTCCTCTTCACCACCAAAGGCGTTCAAGTCGGAGGTAAGCTGTTTCGCGACGTATCAGCCAAGATCGTCGTCTCCCAGCTCGCCAGCGCCCTCGATTTCAGCAGCGTGGCCTCGTACAGCCCCTACCCGGAGCTGCCTCGCGACAAGTCCCTGCGCATCGCCGACATGCCCATGGACGAGCCACTGGAACAGTCCGCGCTGTGGAAGGTGCTGGCCAGCATGGTCAACCCCGGCGACATTGTGCTGGGCGAGACCGGCACCGCAGGCTACGGCGTCCGCGAGATGCCGCTGCCACCCGGCACGAGGCTGTTCACGCCCGTGACGTGGCTCTCCATCGGCTACATGTTGCCGGGCGCGCAGGGCGCCGCGCTGGCCCAGCGGGAGCTCCGCGCGTCCGCCCCGTCCTCTGGTCCGTCGACGCCCAAGACGATCCTGTTCATCGGCGACGGCAGCTTCCAGATGACGGTGCAGGAGATTGCCACGATTGTGCGTCTCGAGCTCAACATTGTCATCTTCCTCATCAACAATGATGGGTACACGATCGAGCGCTGCATCCACGGACGGAATCAGGCGTACAACGACGTTTCCCCGCTGCGGTACCTGGAAGCGCCGAGCTTCTTCGGCGCCAAGAAGAGCACGTATACCGCGTCTGCGAGGACATGGCGCGAGCTGCAGACCGTGCTAGAGAGCGGGGCACTCCATGAGGAGAAGGAGCTGAGGATGGTAGAGATCTTCTTGGGGCGGGACGATGCTCCCAAGGGGCCTCTGCTGCAGTACATGATCAGCCAGAAAGAGAAGGAGTCTGCGACATGAGTAGCAGGGAGAGGCTGGAGACAATAGTGAAAGAAACCAGAGAAGTAGCAACAGAACCACACAGCATGTAGATTGTTGGAATTACTAGTGTACAGGCCCGTATCGGGCTTCTCAGCTGGCTAAGATGCGAACTGGGCATTGCGATCATGGCCAATCAAACTTCCTACTGAAAGTCGCAGAGCTTTGGTTAGGTAGGCTGTTCGGTACATTGCTGTTCCAAGATCCACCAATGATCGCACTATCAAAAAATTCCTCCAACGAGGTAGGCAAACGAGTATGGTGATGTCAGGGGACCCTGCGTGGAGGGCCCTCCAAGCTGCGGAGGGCCAGAATTCAGATGTATTACGACCCCCAACCTATCTTCTATCTGCTGCGGACCACGTGTGGAAGACCTCATCACTCTGCTCTAACAACGCTCAGACAGGTGAGACTTTTCGAAGACGAGTCAGTGCTATCTAGGTACGCACCAGCGAATCGCGTATGTATCACACATCTCTATAATTTCCACCTGATCGTCCGTCCTAGGGTCACTGTTCCTTATGCAAACGACCAGAAATGAAGCACTCGTTACTAAGGTTGGTGAGAGATGTGATGTTTGTGTGGTAATAGGCACTGTTGAACTGCCACACTGGCACGCCGCGGCGGATCCTCCTGGATTTCCTATTTCGAGCATCTTGCTCTTGCCTAACAAAGACGTTCAAACAGGCTTTCGAAGTTTAATGCGCAAGCCCGCACTGACGGAAATGGGAACATCGTATGTTTCGATACGTCTTATATCTTGAGTGTATGACATATTGTGAGCACTGCCTTACGTCACTGAACAGGAACGCGTCCAGTTGTTGTCGTGTAGCATGAATAGTTTCTTCATGTCTAGACTGTTTTCTATGGAAAGCCGATGACAAAGCATCATCCATCCTGCCCGAACGGTGGGTATTCCGGCGTCGACATATCGCAAGCAAATCGTACAAAGTAGCTACTATCAGACCCATCTCCATCTACGATAATCCGTCCGTCCGGTGCCTGGACTTGGGCAATGAACGCGAGCCTGCCTTGCGCATTCGCCCATAGAAGTCGGAACGGCGTATATGTACCGGCCTGTAGCTGAATAGTGAAGACGACTGTATCCTCGGGACCGGTAACAGTGTTGTAATTCTGTTCCAGATCCGCATTAGCGCGCGTCCAGGTCGATATCGCTTTGTCGCCGAGCCAGACGAGCGTGATATCGTCCGATACGGGTACTGTAACAGTATATGTACCCGTTACTGGTGCGTAGAGGAAGGCGCGATGATTTACGGCTGTAAACTGGTAGAGACGGGACGGCGCATTGTCGTAGATCCTGAAAGGAGTGGACGGGTTCGTGCCTGGTGGGATACCGATGCGCTCCGTTATACCAGTAAACAAGGGCTGCCTGGTATGGAAGTAGCCGACATTAAGAGATGAGTAGGCTGGAAAGTCGGAGTTACGGAAATTATGCTCGTAAAGCGCATACTCAAGACCGCTATTATTGCATGTTACGTCAGGCGTAGGTGCCGGTGCTGAGGAGGATGGTAATATGCTAGATTGGGTTGAACTGGGTGCTATAGAGCTTGGCTGTACTGAGCTTGGCTGACTTGGCTGAACTGAGCTTGGCTGTACTGAGCTTGGCTGACTTGGCTGAACTGAGCTTGGCTGACTTGGCTGTACTGAGCTTGGCTGTACTGAGCTTGGCTGACTTGGCTGTACTAAGCTCGGCTGGCTTGGTTGGACTGGGCTTAGCTGAACTGAGCTTGGCTGTACTGAGCTCGGTTGACTTGGCTGTACTGAGCTCGGCTGGCTTGGTTGGACTGGGCTTAGCTGAACTGAGCTTGGCTGACTTGGCTGTACTAAGCTCGGCTGGCTTGGTTGGACTGGGCTGAGCTGAACTGAGCTTGGCTGACTTGGCTGTACTGAGCTCAGTACTATGAAGCTAGATGCTATTGAACTCGGCTGGCTTGGCTGGACTGAGCTCAGTGCTATGAAGCTAGATGCTATTGAACTTGGCTGGACTGAGCCCGATGGAAATAGGCTTGGAACTGTCGAGCTGGGTACAGAACTCAGTTGCACTGAGCTCAGTGGAATTGCGCTCAATACTGCTAACTTGGTTATGGAACTCGGTTGGACTGAGCTTGGTAGATTATCAAGTGAACTCAGTGAGGGTAGGATGGAATTGGGAAATATTGAGCTCGAAAGTAGTTTGAGTAAGCTGGGCAGGGAAGTGACTGAATTGGGTCTAGACGAACCACTGTTAGGTATAAGGGAACTAGGCAGAGGTGATACTGAACTAGGGACGGGGATATTGATACTAGAGAAGGGGATTGGGGAGGGAGTTGGAGAAGGGACGGATGAACTGGTTCTAGCAGTGTCGCTATTAGACAAATTGGAATCGGGTCGAGGAATTGGTGAATTGGAAGAGGAGAAATTGGAACTAAGCAATGGCTTAAAAAGACTTGGTAGTGGTAAATCAGAAGTCGATAAATGCGAGGAGCCAGTTATAGATAGTGAAGGAACCGAATTCGTTTCCGGAGTTGAGATAAATGAACTCGAAGGTATGATAGTCTGCGAGCCACTCGTTATCGATTCGGTTGGTGGCCAAGGGTCGGAAGGAGTGCTAGAATCAGTGGCAGGCGAAGTAAAGACTGCTTTTATCGAGGGTCCGGGGTCGGCTGTACTCTTCGAGTGTTTTGTGTCGCTTATGGTACTATGATGTGATATTGTGGGTATTGACGGAGAACCTTTTTCTTGTCTCTGTATATCCGTAGGGGCAGTGGTTGGCGTATAAATAATGATTGTGCCGGGGTCGGTCCCTGCAGGAGCAAAAGTGACTGTCGTCGGAACTACTCCATCGTAGCCTTTGTGGACCAGAACGTGTGGCGAGTGAGCGTAGAAAACTAATGTGCTGAGCAGAAATATTAGTATTTCATAGTGTTAATTGACTGATGGGCCTCGCCTACCGGACGATAGATGTAGTGTGCGTGAACGTCGCATTACCAGTGCAGGAGATTATCTTAACATTCTGGGTCTCCGTAACTGATAGGCGACTTTCAAACCCACAGCTCTCTTCAAAAGATGCTGCTAGCACTAGTAAGGCAGGGAGGAAGCCTATTACAGCTGAGGGGGAAAACTTCATGGCGACTATCAGATGTACTCATGCATGAACCTGCGGGAAGCGTCTGTAAGCTACAAGGAGCATTTTATAATAGTTCCAGATACTTTCCATCAGCGTTCTACCCGATATCGACTTCACGGCAAGCAAGCATCCAAGGGTCTCAAATCCAGTTAGACGGCAGACCGAACTAAGATGGAACTGTCACCTTAGTTGCGTCAGCTGCAATCTGACCAATAGAATTTTGAAAACAAAGGAGTGCCGGGCATGTGAAGAATGAAATGAGAGCGTGTATCATAAAAGGGTTTGATGTATATTGCGAGCACGTTTCTTTCGGTTCCCTGTATACCTCAATTAAGAATTGTCGACCTCGGACTGAGTGGAGCATTGGCCTCCTGAATCAAAGGGCGAACCAGCTGATCTGAAATGTATGCCGATCTTTCATTCCTTGTTGTATCGCGGGCCATCGCACAATGAGACATACCTACAACAAGCGAGCACCCGGCTTTCGTGGAGATCGGGGGTCCTCTAGGGGTCCAACTCGGTGGGGTCGTAATCAAACATCAGTATATACACAGCATCCATGTGAGGAAATCTTGCCAGCCGGCCGTCCCTCAATTGGTGGCGGCGAGGGCTTCTCTGTGCGAGACCCACAGTCATCAGGACGATTGATTCACCTTGCGGACTCTGAGTCCAACTCTTTGTGGACTCTTCTCGGGACTTTTCAGGGGCGGGACAACGCGGGACAACCGGCGCTAATACTACGCATTCTTCATGGATCTAGAAACAACGGCCTTGTAGCCTGACCCAGGCGAGCCTTGTCCAGGCCTCTCTCTAAGCTGGGCTCAGTGCTTGATGCATGCCAATGCTGTTCAATGCATGCATCGGTATGTAAACACAAAAGAGAAGATTGCTTTTGGCATGGAAGTCTTCAAATGAAGACCGCTCTTCAATTTTCGTCTTCGTAGGCGAAAGCGTTTTGGCACGGCATTGCAATTCACGGTCCTCTAGCTTAGGTACTCAAAGGGCCTTACCGCAGGCCTCATGGCGAGCAATCCTTGACGAGACAAAACCTCAGCCTTTGAGTCCATATCGTTCCAGCAAGTTTTAAACATTTGTACCAAGCGGCACGAGATCACAGCGGCATTCTTGGAATATATCATTGACAGTATAACTTTTAACCTAGGAATTCTGCTGTTTTGGAGCTTCGATGCGAGGAGCCCATTTGCTGCTACACCAGGTCGGTTTTTCCTAGCAAGAACAGCAACCAACCCCACACCCTCCTTACGGGACACTTATCCCGCTTCTCAGACGATTGTCTCGGGCACGGATATCTATGGCTACGCGACCTTCTCGGTATTGGCCCCAAGCCCATAGCCATAGATGGTCAGGGCATTGATAATTCAGCCAGGCGATTAGAGATTTGCAGAAGTATATTACAGCTGTATTACCCGTAGATTCTACTTTGATTATGACGGCCGTCTAGCCAGTAGAAGATTTTGACTAGTTGTCGATTCAACGCAATCTTGAGGCGATCGAGTTGTTCAACGTTTGTGGTTGTCAGGAAGCTCCACCAGAGCCACAGAGCAGGGCTAGGAACTACGACAACGTGTAAAAAATAGCTGCCGAGGGCAAGAATTCAGATGTGTTCAACCACCGTACCCATCATCCATTGTCTGCGGACCGACTGCGGAAGATCTCTTCACTCTGCTCAAACCTACGCCCTGATAGGTTGTCTGTTTGATGCCAGGCCGCGTCTGCTCTTATCTCCAGCGTCAGTCCCCCACATCCCTCTTAGCCCCAGATTCCACGCCGCTGAGACTCTTGCCGCTGCTTAACTTCGGTCGCCCTAGAAGTACCTCCTCTCTCTTCATAGCCTCTCCTATCACTTATGCCAATAGCACTGCGCGCGTAAATATTGAGTGAGTCTTTTGGATCATTTGCCTGATTGCTTTGTTCGGATCTTTAATAGAATGTTCCATGCCCATGCACGATCACTTTGCCGCCCTTGATCTAGGAATAGCCGAGTGCTTGCCGTTGTGTTTTGATCACACAAATATGATGAGGCGACATGATAACGCTACCACTAGTATTCAGGTGAAGATAATCTACAAAGAACAGGATGAGTAGATTAACAAGCCACAAGAGATTGTTCCGGTCCGGGGGAGCGTCTCAAAGACCGAGACGTCATGCAACACAAATTGACAGACAGGTGGTATGCAATGTCCAGATAGCGAAGCCCTCGGGATGAGTGACATCTTGGAACATTGATCGCCGTTGATGAAGATCTTCATGCATCTAATTCCTGCTCGAGACAACCACCGGCCATAGTACTAAAGACGCGGATACCTTACACCCTAGAAGTTTAGCCTATGTAAATAGGGGAATGCATTTATCCTAATACCTAGGTACCTTGGTGTGTAAGGAGGCACCGTGACCTGCCGTACTTCCCACCCATTAGTGCAGCACGTGATCTGGCGATTGGCTGAGTCAGAAACATGACAAACCCCTGCTTGGCACATGTTCACAGGCCATTCTCGTGAAAGATGTCATCTGGAAATGCTTTTCACCTAGATCAATCACAGCAATCATGTCGAGGCAGGAGATATTACGCGCATACAGGCATCTCTACCGCGGCCTTCTCCGGGCTGTGCAGTTCTCCGTCAAGGGTCGGTACACAGCACGCGACCAGCTTCGAGCAGCCTTCCGTGACAAGAACGCGACCTTTGAGGCCGAGAGCGTCAAGCGCACGATTTGGTTCATCAACTCGGCTGCTCTGGAGCGCGGCCTGGAACACAGCATCCTGAAGAACCTCATTCGCACAGCCTACGCGCGTCAAAACCCCGAGACCTGGCGATCTGTCGTGAAAACCGCCAGTCAACCCAAGAAGAAGTGAGTTTCGCAGCAGCCCCCGTAAAGACGACTTCCAGTGGTGGTGCCGGAGAGAAATTGACCAGAAGTAGAACTCAGCAGACAGCCGACGACGCTGTTGCGAATGGCATGAAGCATTACGACATGACTGTGGCGATGCTGAACAAGACAATGGGCCTGTGTCTCCGGTGAACGAGACATGTGCCCATTCGCTGAAGCCATCGAGACGCCACAATATGCATGCGCAAGCTGGGCATAGTCACCTTCGAACAGACGAACAAACGTCGCCAACTACTTGGTCGCTCTTAGTCAGAACCCCAGAAGAGCAGCCTCGAGAGGGTGTTCGTGGAACTGGTATGGTTGGCTGGGTAGCGGCAGGCAAGTGACGCGGGGTTGGAGCCACGGTCGAGTCGAAATGCGCCGTCGACATGCATGGCGGGATCGTTCCCTAACCCAGCTGGCCTCATGGTTTGGAGAACCGCTGCTGGCGCCCGTTGGATGCCGATTATCGCTCTAGAGAGCAGCATCTGAAGACTTAGGGGGTCCGTGATTGAGCGAGCTGTATGAGGGCTTTGCTGCTCAGCTTCATTGCCAAGACATGTCGACACAGCTCGGAAGCGCTGCCGCCGATTCACAACACAGTCGTGGATCGCTCATGTTGGGTCGTTGGATGGCGACAGTTGGGCAGGGGGGAAGGGAGGTTCGAAAATGACGTTAGTATGCATCGAATCGGCATCCTCTTAGCCCGTGCCGCCCAAATGGTGGGACGCCTCAGACAGACAGTTCGACCAGCCTCTCAGGTTGGGCGAGGTCCCAGATCCTCTCGAATCTTGGTATCCACCTATGACAAAGAAGCAGACCGGAATAATTCTAGACGAGGTAGCTGCCCAAGATAGCTACCTAGCCAGCATTAATAGCCTCATCACTCGTGCGAAACTGCCTAGCTGGAAGCAACGTACATGTTCAAGATGGTAAGATGCCATGTGACAACGGAGTCTAGTCATGATGTTCTGCCCAATGCAGCTCCTGGTGGACCCCAAGAAGCCTCTAGTCCCAGAATCGTCGCAACGGCGAATCAACAGCCTTCGCGCGGTGGAGCTTCATTGGCGCGCCCGCAGTTCGCAGCTCGACCAGAGGCCGCCAGGTACCGGTAGTGCACTCGCTCTCACTTGTCCGTTGTGACTCCACTGGAGTGAGCCGCTGGACCTGGACCTCGCTGCATCATACCCTCCCCGGCCCCCCCAAAGCCGAGTGCCCGGCTATCCACTGACCAGTGAGGAACCTCCCTACCGAGCGGAATGTCCTCTTGGACGCTCCCTCTCGATGCCCGCATTCGAACATGCTATGACCCCGCAATCACTCCGACTTTTGTCTTCCCTTCTTCTTCTTCACTCTCGAGCATCATCGCCCAAGCTGCATGGGAAGTCGCTACTACGGTCACAGTTCTTGGGGGTTCAGCTCTCGATCTCCCAGGCAAAGACGGTTGAAACACGACTGAACAATTCATTGCCCGCCTCCACTGTCTGATCTTCCCTTATCGCCTCGCCTTGGTCTCGACCGCCCACTCAAACGCCGCTAGTTCTCCACCCCCATCCCGTCACTTGAAGGCCCGTCACAGCTTCACAACGGGGAGGGGTCTGCTTGTACGGATGGAACCACGTCTATAGACGTCCGTCCGCGTCGTCACCAGAGTGAGCCGAGGGCCTCTCAACCTCCCTTCAGGCCAATCTATTTGCTACCAATACACACCACGAATCTTGAAGCTCGAAGCTTCAAAGTCCGCAGACACCAGACCCACGGCATCTACCCACCGCCAGATTCACAACTGGACCACCAGCAGCGGCAGAGACGCAGAAGCATGCCCGCCCAATTCCTAGAGAGACACCATGTGCCGACCACCATCACACCTTCGATCATGCCTCAACACGAAAAGCCTCAGAGGCTGGTCAAGCGATACCGTACAGAAATTGCCGCCAGCACGTCCAGTGTATTCTCCACCGTCGTCGCCTTTCCTCTCGACAGCGTGAAGACGCGTATGCAAACCTACCGATATGATGGCTTCCTCGACTGCGTCCGCCACACGTACCAGACCGAACAGCTACGGGGCTTCTTCAGAGGTGTGTGCCTCTCTCCTCTCTTCCGTGACGTTCTGCACAGGACACGCCAGAGCAACCCACTAACACGCCCCCAGGTGTACTGGCCCCGACCGCCAGCGTGACCCTTGTCCGAACCGTCTCCTTCTCTATATACCAGCGCGCCAAATACGGATACTCGGGCTGGATCAAGAAGAACATGGGCGTTGACGTCCTCGACCACGTCAACAGGAAAGGCACATATCCCAACTTTTACTCAGTCGCCTGCTTCGGCGCGGCTGGCGCCACGGCCGGCTCCTGTATTACAGTCGTCGCTTGTCCGTTTGAGCTCACCAAGCTGAGCGCCCAGGTTTCCGTGTTGCTCTCAGATCAGAAGAAACTCGCAGAGGCGAACTGCCGCGTGAGCAACGGCCACGCCGTTGCCGCGAGCTACCAGAACAAGGGGACGTTTAAGACGATGCGTAACATTATCCGCCACCGGGGCATTTTTGGTCTCTATACTGGTTTTAACCTGCATCTACGTAAGAAGCCCCACCCCGCTTTCGTCCTCTCGGCTTGAGGCAGCAAACATGAAAGCTAAAACCAGCTTTGCAGTGCGGGACACGCTCGGCACCGCTATTTACTTCATGGTGTACGAGAGCGGCAAACAGCTCGGCACAACATACGGCGGCGACAGCCCCACGACGAACAAATTGGCGGTCGTTGCGTCAGGTGGACTCTGCGGCATTGTATCATGGGCCATGATCTGTACGTTTTTCTGTGCCATCAGGGACATGGAGCCTCCCAGCTAACCTCGATCACAGACCCCATTGACTCTGCTAAGAGCATCTATCAGCGCAACTCACTATTATACTCGCGAGGCCAGCAGGTCGAGCCGCCCCCAAAGATCACGTTCTTCCGGAAGCACATGTATCGCGGCCTCGGCGTGTCCATGGGACGCTCCTGCGTCGTCAACGCCATCTTCTTCTCTGCCTTTGAGTTTACGAAGAAGCACGTCAACTCGCTGGATGACGATTAAGGGGGCAAGCTCTTCCCGAACAAGGAAGTTGCTGCACCACCCCACTGATGAACACCAGAACCACTGGAAACAAATTTGTATGGGCATAACTGAAAGTTTGCATGGCATGACAAGGGGCGGCGTTACGGAACTGATCTTTTTTTTTTCTTTCTCTCTTCCCTCTACGGAGGCAAGTATGCCACGCGCATGCCGGACAACGGGGACACGGACATGGACACGGATTAGGAACATGGGGCACAAGGGCGGGTGGAACAGGCCAGATAGGAAAGACCCAAAGATATCGTTCGTCAAGCTATTAAAAGCAATCGAGGAAACACATTTCTCGCACTAGTGAGCTTCGGCTGATGTGCCGCGGGGGCCTCTCTTATTTTCTGGCAGATCGAAACGCAGCGGTCAGACTGTGGCTCCTGTCAAGGCTGTTGAGCTACAGTCTGTTGAAGCTCGCGTTTCAAGGCCCGGGCAGCTCCAAGCTTCTGGAAACTCAGACTAGATTGGGAGTGACTGGGACCTGGAGCCAGTGCGGTGGCGTATAATGCCTCACGATGAGATACCTGCCATGCCGCCAGCCCCTCGATGTGCTGCGTCAGTGCTGGGCACAGAGAAGGGGGTGCTTCAGGTCAACCCTCGGGTCAGCAACCGACGTGCTTGGGTACCTTATTTTGGACCTCAGGGTGAATGGGTCTCACGGCAGACAAAGCCACCAACCAACGTGCTCCCATTGAAACACCCATCAGGTTGAGCAGTGAGTTCGGATTATAGTAGCCCCATCACCGACTGGCGCATTTGGCCCCTGCTTATGGAGCCGGGCGGGCCATGCTGCACCTCTTTGAACCTGACCAGGCCTTCACGGTAGCCGCCAAAGCTTGAATGCCCCACATGACCTTGAAGAGACTCGGCGTCACGCATCAGTCGGGCGACTACCCTTTTCGCCCAACATCATTCTCACATTCTGCAACTGCACTTTGCGAGTCTCAACGTGTGTACCACGCTCTGAGTCGCTACAAGACGCGCACTGGGGCGTTCGAATTCTCTATTTTATCGGAGCGCAAATCTCGTCGGCTCAGGGAGCTTGTTTCACTTCTTCGCGTTCGCGTTCGCAGTTCACGTTCTCTCTCACCTGAGTGATCAGCACCTGAATGAAGGCAGGCTTATCAGCTTCGCAATCCGTGTCCAGGACATTGATACAGAGGCCACCAGAGCTCTGAACGCGTTGGAAGCGGCTGTTCTCGTTGACACTGGCCATCGTTGCTCGTCCGCTTCTTTCGCTTCTTGGTTTCAGGCCTGTCGTTCTGTCCCATTGCGTGTGCAACTAACCCTGTCATTCCCTGGTCTTCGCGGCTTCCTGTACTCTTGTTCGTCATTGCCATGATCAGTCATTGGTACGACTAGGACCAAAACCATGGGGAGAGAAAAGAGGGCTGGTCCGGCCGTCGTCACGGCGAAGGACAAGGCCCGAAAACGCAAGGAGATTGACCGCAAGGCCCCCCTGCCATCTGGCTTGAAAGCTGCCAGGGACACAAGTACCAAGTACAAGAGTTTCTTCGAGTTGGTGCAGAACAAGGATTTCAAGAGCAAACCGCTCGAGTTCGAGGTAACAGCCTGCGCCGACGATGAAGCTTCATGTCCCGTCCCCTGACCCTGCCACAGAAAACGTCAAAACGCGAGCCCCCTCCTCTTTTCGCCTTTGTGCCCGTCGGCAACCCTGAGCTGGCTGTGGCGTGCAAGGAACTCTCGCGCGAGCGAGGGGCCATGGTCTACATCGTATCTGTACGGCAGCCTCGACCATCTCACACAGTTGTTGATACGCACCCACTAACCCATCATGTTCATAAGGAAACCAAAAATGACAACATCTCCGACCTGGTGCACCAGACGAACCGGATCGGCTACCACTTCCGCCAGCAGATCGTACAAGAGGCCGCCCGTACTTTAGGCATCGATTACTTCAACAAACCTCAGCAACTCGCGCCCAATGGTTGCGAGCTGATCCCGTCTTCACAGGTGGACATTAACAATCAAGCTAGGGCTGCTATTGATGACCTGTTTCCCAAGATGCCAGGACTTGACAAGGAGGAGATTGTCGCTCGCGCTTTTCGAAAGGTATCAAACACCCCTGATGACACATCAACAAAGGAGGCTAATCACAGTACAGAATGCCATGTTCAACGGCGAGCTTGTCGTTGGGATGCAGCAAGATTTGACTCTCTCTCGCCGTGTGCAGTTAGCTGTGCTAGCTCACATTAGGCACGCCCATACGCGGTATGACGATCTTCTTAGGGAAACCACGTGGTCCAACGCTCGAAGAGCCACAGAGGCGCTTTGCCTCGATATCCTCGTCAAGTGGCGAGGCGATGACGAGTCTGGGCGGGACCAGCTCGACGAAATCATGAGAGAGATTGTGGTCGTGACAGACGACGAAGACGACGATGCCCCGGAAGATGCCATCGACGATCCTGATTCCGACTCCTCGAGCAGCGTCGAGTTTCAAGGCAGCAATGCCCTTGTGCCTAACCCCATTACAGCTCTTGATGCAGCACGCAGCACTCCTGTCAGCGGTCGTGCGGCATCCGCCAAACCTCAGCGGAAGGCGCGAAAGAAGCAGGGCATTCCGGTGAAGTCGGCCAAGTTGAGGAAGGCCCAACTGCACGAGCAGCGCAAAGCCCAGAAGAGTCTCAAGCGGTACGAGGTGGCTTGGAACCAGGCACTCGACCGTCAACGGGCGAACCCTCACCCTCAAGAGGCGCCCGAGGCTGGTGGATCTGCTAGTCACGGATCCTATCCTCACGGGTTTTCTGATTACCCAGCACCTCCATCCCGTCCCTCTCCCCATCCCTCTACTATTCGTGGGCCGTCTCAAACGGGGTATACATTGGGATATACTCAGAGCGGCATCATTGGCGAGCCACGGCCTGGTTCATTCTTTCGACCTCCCCCTCCACTACCTGAACCCCACTTTACAGCCTCCGAAAGACCTGCATTCGAAGAGGCAAGCGAACCTTGGCGCCAGATGGGTGTTCATAATATAGCACGCTCTAGGAGCCGGCCCTCAGACGGCTACAACGTACCTTTGCAGGACATGCTGCACCCGTCCATTGAACAGCCGTCCCCTCAGCGTCCCTCCTTTGGTCAGCGCGAGGAACGGCCCATGACCCCAACATACCGCGGACCCGTTTCCCTACAGAGAATAGCAGCGGACCGAGAAGGCCGTCCCCCAGTTCCTCTGGAGCGGCACCTTGCTTACAATGACGACGGCCACGCACCCCGTGAATGGTATGAGCCAAGGAATCGACAGCCTGTCCTGAGTGATCGTGGCTATTCCCCAATGCTAGAGTCTCCGTTCAGACCAGATGCCAAGTCATACGGTAGTAGCGATGCCCCCTTGCATCGGGCGCCCGCCCAACAAAGGCCCCTGTATGAACGTGTGCCTGAATATGGACACACACAACCTTCGCCACTACAACGCGAGGTCATTGTATTAGACAGGGACCGCATCATGCGCGACGTGCATAGCCCTGATCACAGGATTAGTGACTTCCAACGGAGCAGGCCGGCACACTTACCACTGGCACCCGCCTTGGCGCCACAAGTCCACGGCTCGTCCATGCCGGAAGGTTTCTTACGGCTGAGGGAAACTGTGCCGTCTGCCCCGTCGCATGCCACCCTACGCGATGAAGGATTTGTACGGCTCAGGGAGTCGCCTCAGATCCGGCGTGACCCAGCAACTGGCCACAGCACCTATCCGCGGGCAAATGGACAGCGATCCGGATTGGATGGCGCTTACAACATGCCAGACGCAACACCAGAACAGCCTGTCTATGTTCGACGTGCCGGGCCCGGATTTGATAGCCCCTATCGACAAGGCTATCATCCTTATGATGATCGTGATGCAGGGCCCTCGTCTGGACGACAATATGACCAGACGTCAGTGAACCCCCCTGCACGCTGCGTTTACAAGTCGGCTGACCGTTTTCATAGGTCATTTGACAACCCCAGCCGGCCAGCTCACGCTCAACACGCGCCCTACCGCGGCTACGCAGCGCAGCCCATGTCAGCCGAGAGTAGTTCGAACGGATATGTCATTGATGATCGTCAATACACTCCTCGGACGCCTCTACCCCCTGATCACCAGATTATACTCATCGACAGTTGAATTACGGCAGCACGGATTGGCGGTGACTTTTGTGTGTTTATGGACTGGCATGACGAATGTCGTTGAAAGTAAAGAGGTCAAGACAGCATTGGTGTTTTCATCGGCGTACGGAGTCCATGATTTGGAAAGGATGGCCCTATTGGTTCTGTCCTGAGAGGAACACTTAAGCATTTGCATGGAGGAGCTGACTTACTAGCTTCTGCCCAGAGGGGTTGGGCTATGAAGGCGTACATGGACTCTGTGGAATGATACCCGTGTGGAGAGGATTTTGTCTGGGTGAGCCTGGACTGATCGGTCGAAGAAGCAAGATGAAGATGGAAGCATAAAGCAGGGCCTGACGGCGATTTTGCCGCTGCACCAATTTTGAGAAGATTTTGTTTCGAACCATTGATTGCCATGCAAACTTTGTGTGTCTAGAGTATAATGAGGATTCGCAAAGAGGGAAAGAAAAAAGTGCCGCCCAAAGTCGCTCTTCTAAAGTATCTTATGAGAATGCTGCCCACCACCGATGCGCACCAACTCCGTGCCAACTCCCAATATACCCAAGTCGGTCATCGTAAACAAGCATATGCGTCAAAGAAAGAAGCAACAACAAAAAAGAAACACGATGGTCCGCAAACCATCCCGTCGCTGCATTGTATCGTGGACGTCGTTCCAGCCAGGTCATGCCGGCACCATCTGTCTCCTCTCCGCCTGCCTCACCCTCTGCGGCCGTTCCTCGTCCTCCTCTTCCGTCGTCGGCCTCGTGAGCTCCGTATCCGGCGCAACGGGCAGATCGTGCCTCTGCGGCGGCACACCCTGGGCCGCCTCCTTTCCGGCGTTAAGCCTGGCCTCCATCTCGGCGAGCTCGTCCTCGACCTCCTCCTCCTCCGAGTTGGAGATGCGGCCGTTGAGCAGCTCGGCAATCTCCTTCTGGTACGCGAGGGCCTCGGCGTTCTCGCCCATCATGCGCTCGACGCCCTCGACGCCGCCCATCTCGGCCTGGATATCCTTGAGCACGCGCGAGCCCTGCTGCAGCCCGAACATGACGTCCTTTTGTATGAGCGCGAACTCGACGTTGGACGTCAGGTGCTGCAGCTGGGCGAGCTGGGCGTCCGTCTTGGCGAGCAGGGACTCTTGGTACTTCTTGCGGCGCAGGGCGAGCAGGGCCTTGTCCTTGTCGCCCTTGGCGAGCATCTGCTTCGCGATGGCCGTCTCCTTGTCGGTCAGGAGGGTGATGCGCTTCTGGTACTGGTGGAGCTTGTCGCGCTGGAGCTTCATGTCGAGGATGGCCCTGGAGGAGAGGAGGCCAGCGATGGCCCTCGGTCAGTCTGCGTTTCAGAGAACATGCTGTCCGGCTTTTGGCTGAGGGGGAGGGGAAGCAGCAGGAGAAAGGAGGAAGTGTGAGAGCGGGGAGGGGAGGGGGGATTCAGGAAGGGGGGGTAGTTAGTACTTGTCCTGCGCCGTGACTTTGCTGCCGTTTGCGCCCATTTTGGTGTGTGATTGCGGTGGACAGACCGCGCGACTTGTGGGAGAGGAGGAAACGCCGCGCTGCGAGGGTATGGGGGACGCGGCCTTGTCGCGTTGTTGTAGGTGCTTCGTTTCGGAGAAGAGGCTCGAGGTGACGGCGTGAGGCTTGCGCGCGCTGTGGTACCCTGCTGAGCGACATGCGACGGGGGCCGGTTGACGGCGTCTGCTTGGCGGGTTGTGGCTGGTCTTTCGTCATTATTACGGGTCCCCCGATGTGGGATGTAATAGGCAGATAAGCCGAGGTCGCGTGTCTTATCGGTGGTGATTCTTATGTCAGCACTTAGTTCCTTGTTATCTCACTTCATATGGCATCGTCCAAGACCGATGACATGCAACACGACAGTCACAAGGACATGGCATTTCCGATGCTGGACGGTGATGCGACTGGAGCAATCTCGGGCTGCTTCACTGGTCAGAGAGTTCCATGATACCTTCACGTGCTTGTTGCACTGAGTTTCGACATTGGTCTTATCGATAAGACACCAAAGACCCCTCTACCAATCACAGCCGCTTTCAACAGGCTCCATTAAATTTTTTGACGACGATGTTCATGAGAGAGTACAATCCAGCAGGGTCTCACTCAGTCAAACACAAGCTCTATCAAACCGGCGCATGGTGGGCCCGGCCTCGAGAAACAACTCATCATGCTCAAATATGGACGCCCAAAAGCGAATCTTCGCAACAGCCTTGACCGCGACGTCTATCAGATCGTGAAGAAGCTCGAAGATGAACGCACGGCCAACCAGCCCAAGGACAGGAAACGCGCAAAGCTCACCATCTCGGGTGTCTACGACATCATCAAGAAGTCCAACTCGAGTCTTGCTCGGCAGAAGAGGAAACCCCTGGAAGATGCCATCGATCGCTGCTTGGACTTTCTGAAGCAGGAACAGTCCGATTCTGAAGACAGTGAGGCGGCGTTGGATGAGATCAACGAGTCAAATAAAGTGAGTGAGCTGTCGATGTAATACCGCCAGAAGAGGCTTCTGACAATCCGCAGCCCGAAGATCGCTTCTTGCTCAACCGACAGATGGCCAAACAGTGGAACACCACGGCCCAAGGCGCTGAGGGGAAGAGCACCAAGCGGCGACGCCTGTCTCCAGAGCCAGACGCCGTTAACGGGACTGAGGCCGTCAGCGACGGCTCTGCTGTTACCCCCGGCAAATCGTCCAAGCCCAACGGAACGGCACAGGCCGAGGCTCAACTTTCAGGAACAAAGAAGGCACCGAAACCGCCCAAGTACGCCGCGGAACAAGTCGATCCGGACTCTATCGTTCTCGGAGGCGTGGCATCAACCGTGGACGAACTCGACAGGACCATATTTTCACGTCTCAGGCGACCCCAAGGTCGTCAACGCCTCCAAGGAATGCCCGTTGGCTACATCATCTCTGGGCCGCCAGGTACCGGCAAACAGTCCGCCGTGCGAATGCTCGCCGCTATCAGCTCTACGCCCATCATACCCTTGGGAAAGCATCTAGAGGAGGCCACAAAGTCGCCAGAGAAGGTTACCAAGATCATAACGGATGTCTTCGACGAAGCCACAAAATGTGCTCCATGCATCATCTTGATTGAAGGTTTGCACGACTACATGCCCAAGTCGGGCAACACACAGAGTGACCGAGAGCAAGAAATTGTGACCCAACTCAGGATAGGCATGAGACGCCTACGGGACTGGCAGCGGGAGAATGAACCCGTCTTCGTTGTGGCTACTACCACCAAGATTGAAACCATCGACGCCAGTCTATGTACGCCCGACCTCTTCGCCCGCACTCTCAACATCAAAGTTCCCAACGCCGATGCGCGCGAGGCCATCTTCCGGGTACTGTCTTGCAACCTTGGCCTTCCGGAGAGCTTTGACTACAAAACCCTGGCGATCCGGACGCACGGCTTTGTCGGTCGGGATATCCAAGCAGTCGTCCAAGCTGCAATCGAACGGGCTCACGACCGCCTCATCGACCTCGAAGACGCCCACGCCCGCCAAAGTCTGACTTGGATCCCCCGGCCAGAACCGACCGAAGAACCTGTCGACAAGCGAGACACGGCTGGCATAAGGTTCCGCTACGAGTACCTCGCCGCCGAAAGTCTCACGCCCGCTCCTCAAGTCCACCTCACGTACGAAGACTTTGCACACGCCGTCTCAGAACACACCCCGCACATGCGCCGCGAGGGCTTCAGCACCATCCCGTCAACGACCTGGTCCGAGGTCGGCGCCATGCACTCGGTCCGCGCCGCCTTCCAAGTGTCCATCGTCCGCCGCATCAAGGAGCCCCTCCTCTTCGCGCGCTTCGGCAAGCAGCGCCCCGCAGGCGTCCTCCTCTTCGGGCCCCCCGGCTGCGGCAAGACGCTCGTCGCCAAGGCCGTGGCCAACGACGCCCAGGCGAGCTTCATCCTCATCAAGGGCCCCGAGCTGCTCAACAAGTACGTCGGCGAGTCGGAGCGCGCCGTGCGCGAGCTCTTCGCGCGCGCCAAGAGCTGCGCGCCTTGCATCCTCTTCTTCGACGAGATGGACTCGCTCGTGCCCAAGCGCGAGAACACGTCGACCGAGGCCGGCGCCCGCGTCGTCAACGCGCTGCTGGCGGAGCTCGACGGGGCCGGCGACCGCGGCGAGGTCTACGTCATCGGCACGAGTAACCGGCCCGACATGATCGACCCGGCCGTGCTGCGCCCCGGTCGTCTCGACAAGCTCTTGTTCGTCGACATGCCGACCGAGGACGAGCGCGTCGACATCCTGCGCACCATTTACAGGAACGGCATCGGCGGCAGCGACAAGGCGGCCGATGCTGTGATGGAGGGCACCGAGCAGGGGGCCGCGGCGGCCGGCGGCCCTGACGTGATCGAGACGGTCGCGCGGGACCCGCGGTGCAAGGGCTTCAGCGGCGCCGATCTCTACGGACTGTACAAGAACGCGCTGGACGCGTGCGTTCTGCGGTATGAGGGCGGCGACCCGTCCCTGTCCCCGGCCGACTGGGAGGCTGCGCTCGAGCAGACGAAGCCGAGCGTGCCGAATCCCGAGAGCTATCGCAAGTTGGCGGCCAAGTTGCACCACCAGAGGTAGAGGGCATGACCGGGACCGTTGAAAGAATACATCAAATCACTCCACCCAAGGGCATGATGCGGAGATGCTGTTTCACGTGAGATGAGCTTGTGTATGTGGGGATGGCCATGCAGATAGAGCGCTGTCGATCCTTGTCTTGGAGGGTTGAGCTGCTTGGTTTGGTTTGTTGCACATGGGCGCATGAGCATGTCTTGCCGTACGTGCCACCTAAGGATTATAATCATGCAGCTGATCTTCTGGGATGGGATCGAATTCTGAAAATCTCATGTGAACTACGTCACGAAGACCGAACGCCGGAAATAATCGTGGATGCAAATCTGTGTAATGATGACCGAGAACCCAAGTCTTGGCATGTCATCTCCCCAAGCCTTTCGGAGAATGTCCCGGTCAAGCTCTCGTATTATGGATCTCGATCCGAGGAGAGAAATGCGTACCACAGATACGACTGGCTTCAGCCAGTGTGGAATGCGCATTTCACTGGCACACTGCCACTTCGAGTTTTCATCACTTCCAAGAACGAGTTGAGCGCAGAAGAGGAGATGGAATAAAAGGCGGGCCATCAAGGGTGCCCGCTGCCCCGGACGCACTGTCCTGGAGGGCATCATTTGAGTCTATGGTACATGTCGCATTATGTCTCAAGGAAAAGGAAGTCTCGCCGAATCCCGTCTAATGCAACTTCCGAGCTCTTCTTCCCCATCGTTCTTTCGTATCCTAGTGGTACAACAACACGACCTGTGGTGGTGGATGGTGGGTGGAGTGTGGAGAGGGTGTGTGGTGGATTGCGGGTGAGTGAGAAGAGAGGGCGATCCGCTTAGGCGGTGGCGTCCTTGAGGTAGGCGATCAGGTCGTTCCTGTCCTTGGCCTTCTTGAGACCACCGAAAGCCATCTTGGTGCCGGGGATGTACTTCTTGGGGTTCTCGAGGTACTCGAACTGCAAGGGGATTAGAAGAAGCTCGCTTTCAGCATCACGATGAGATCAACATACCAGAGTGTCGTTGTTCCACTCAATACCCTTCTGCTTGTTGGCATCGGTGTAGGAGTAGCCGTCGACGGAACCAGTCTTGCGGCCGAAGAGGCCGTGCAGCGCAGGACCGATCTTGTTGCCGCCGCCAGCCTCGACGGTGTGGCACTGAGCGCAACGGGTCTTGAAGAGGGAAGCACCCTTCTTGGCGTCACCTGGGGCAAGAGTTAGCTATGCGATTGATTTGTGGTGGTGATGCAGTGTTGCCAGCTTCGGCAGCGACATGATTTCCAACAGGTCTGAGAGGAGAGACAGAGAGTATCGGGCTTTCGTTCGAAGTGGATTGCGTTGAGATCGAGATGAGAAACGAGTCCGACTCAATAGGTATGAGCTGGAGTCGTTGTCCCTTCGTTCGCAGCGTTGCCGAGGCCAGGGGAAATGACGCAGGAAAAGCTGACATGACAGGTGCGCCAGAGGTCACCGAGGCTCCAAAATCACCCCAAGCTCAGGATTCGCAATTCAGACATCGTCTCAACGGTGTATCCAAGTCGAAAACACCGGCGCCGATGCTCAATGGCATTCGCAGACAAGTCGGACCATTCGCGAAGCCTGCCACTGGGAAACACCGGGTGTAGGAACTTACCACCAGCCATTTTGACGATTTTGAGAGGGGGTATTAAGGTGTTAAGAAGATGAAGAAGGTATTATGTAGGATTGCAAAAGAATCGAATCTCTTGCAAAGGGCGTATGGGTAACGTGTCGAGGTTGGAAATAGTCGTCAGAGGGTGGAAGGGGAGGAGGAAAACTTTTGGGAGAGAGAAACCGGCTGGGAGCCGATCGACTTTAATGGCACGCGCGCGCAAATCCTGGCAATGAGCTCACTACAGACAGCGCACCAGCCACGCTGTGGCGCCTCCAACGGGTCCAAATGACCCAGTCATCATTCAGGTCCGCGCCAATCATCGGCCAGCAAATGGTCAGAGGGCGCACACTGACGCAGGGGGGCGGTACTTCCGTACCGGGCAAACCCGGAAACAACAGCCTGGAGGACAATTGTTCCGTACCTTACCTACCTATCTAGGTACCTAGGTATCTAGGTACCTTACCTAACAACAGTGCAAAGGCCGACATTTTAGCGCCTTTCCAGTGCTGGGGCCCACCGAATACGCCCCCGGGGGTTCCGCTGTCGAGCCTGCATTTCGGGCTTTGAACCCAGAGCTTGGCCGATGTGTACATGTAGGCCTGAGGTGAACTTTTTTCGGGGGGGGGCACATGCGCGATCTGTCGATCGGGATAGCTTCTCGCGATATCCACGCCCGCCACCACCACTACCACGACAAGCTCACCCCTCTTCCCTTCGAACACCAAAGCCTGGGGTCATGACGCCTTCCATCGCCGCCAGCCTCCCTCCACGCTTCCTCATGCCGGCATGGCGTGGTGTTTTCAACGCCAACGTCTCGAGGAACACGGCAGCTGTCTGCCGTCGCCATGCTTCGACTAAGACGCCAAGCAAGCCCATTGTGCTCGAGAAACCGGCAAAATTCAACCCTCCTTCCCACGGATCTCGACTCCCCAGGAACCAGGGCCCGAAACACTATGGAGGTGCTATGAGCGAGGCCGAAAAGGCTGTTCAGAAGAGGAGAGAGTACCCCGGCATGCTGCCGCCCGAGGGATCAAGAACACACAAGTTCATCCACAACCGCAACCTCCACCTCTTCATCTCCCTTGTATGTGCAACATTTGTGTCTCCGTCACCCAATGTGTCCAGGTACTGACATCTCCAAGGGCACACTATCGATCCTCGCTCTCTCCACCTTCATCCTCAACTTCAGCCACACGTCACCCTACAAGCACCTCCTCCCCAGGCCGTCCGAGTTCTGGAGCAGCCCCATCGATTTCATCGGCACCTGGATCCGCGTCCTGCAGCTGCACGAGGTCGACCGCAACGAGAAGGTCATTGCCCAGCACACCGCCCATACCGACGACGTTGCTAAGCGAGCCTACTACAGAAAGGTGCACGGTCTTGACAAGAGCAACCCAGTCGCCAACTGGTTCAAGTCGAGCAGCGAGGACGAGGACGAGAGTGCGGCGCCCTCTCGCGGCGCCGAGGCCCTCGCGGCCGAGGCAATTGCCGCTGCGCACAAGCAGGGCACCAGATAAAGGGGAACAAGGAGAGAAATCACACGACCGGAATGTACCAAACGTCGTCATGTAAAGGAAGCCCCAGCGCCGTGGGCGGGTGGCGGATCTGTAGTATACCCTGTACCTGTACAATAAAGCTCCAACATGACCCAAATGCTCAGGGGTGTAGTACCCTTGTTTTTGTTTGCCCCGTCTACTCCGCCCATAGACCTTGTAAGGTGAAATGGGCCCAGACGCATCCCGTCGTCTACACCAGGTCTACGCCCTCGAGTCCATCCAACACCTCATCCGCGACACCGCCCTTCTCGAGGACCTTGCCGATCATGGCCTCCAGCACGGCAAACTTGGTGCCCCCAATCGGCGGCCTCCACACGCCTTGCTGCACGCCGTAGCCCACCACGCCCGGCAGCGGCACGGCCGCCTTCTTCCCCGGCGTCGACACGCTCGTGGCCGGGTTCTCCGAGTTGGGCACGCCCGACGGCGTGAGCCGCGACGGCGGATCGACAGTCCGCACAGACAGCAGGCGCAGTTGCCTGCCCTCGGCGGCGGTGGCGGTGGCGCGGCTCGCGGTGCCGGCGTCGGCCACGGACACGGCAAGGGCTGACTCGGCGACGGCGAGCTCCTCCTTGGCCGGGTCGAAGATGATGTTGCCGCCGACGGCGACGACGAGGAGCGTCACGGGCGGGCGGGCGCCACCCTTGGCGTTGCGCGGGTACAGGAAGGTCGAGGCCTGCCAGTCGTCGTCGAACATGGGGTCCTCGTCGCCTTCGGACTTGAGGCGCGGGACGCGGGTGGCGAGGAGGGCGAGGTGCGTGGTCAGCGAGAGGAGGGGGAGCGGGTACGAGAGGGGCGGCGAGATGAGGAGGATCTGGTGCACCATTGTCAGTCATACGCCCCGACACTATAGGCTAAAAGAGGAAGAAGAGAGGGGCAGTTCCCGAAGCATACGAGGAGAGACATACGTCGAGGTAGAGCTTCCAGTGGAAGCGGCGGTTGATGTAGAGCTTCTTGGCGAACTCGCCGTCGGCGAGCAGCGCCTCGCTGAGCATGCTCGCCAGGAAGACGGTGCTCGCCTCGTCGTCCCGCAGGCCCGGGATCTCCACCGTCATCTCGAGCCACTCGCTGCGGCCCTTGGAGGCTGCGCCGCCGTCCTCGACATGATCGCCCTGCCGTATCCTCGAGATGTCCTCGTCCGCCGCGCCGCCGTACGGCGTCGCCGTCTTTTCGAGCTCCGCCTTGATGCCGACGATGGCCTCCGTGCCGTCGGAGAAGCACACGCGCGCGCTGCCGTTGGTGCCCGGCAGGATGCCCGTCTCGGCGGTCAGTGGGCGGAACTGGGTCGGTGTGCGGCCGTCAGGTCGGATGGGGGGCGTGAGCGAGAGGGAGGAGTGGAGGTAGGCGAGCTCGGCGGGGGAGAGCAGGACTTGCTGCGCTGCTGTGGCCATGGTGGATGGCTCTGGCGCAGGGTGGTGTGCCTGTCGCTTTCTCTCTTTGGGGGGGGAGGGGCGCAAAGAGAGTGTGTCGTGTTTCGAGATCGGGTGGCGGGGGGGTGGTGATGGGCCTGGCGAGTGCAGGCGCTGGATAGAGCTTTTGTCGCAAAAAGTTGAGGTCGATCTGAGTGCAGCGAAAGCTTGACGTGCAGGGATTCCTTTCATGGTGGGGTTCGCGGGGTGTGGAGCCAGATCGTGTGTGGCTGCTTGCTGTGAGGCTCACGCTCAACCCCTGAGATGACTCCGAGCCCCTAAAGAGGGAGTAGCATGGCACTTACTCACTGAAAGCGTAGCGGACATGGGTACATAAGAAAAAACGAATCCGTCATTTAGTTTGCTGTTAAAGGATGTATACATATTCAATGTCACATCATTGTTTACGTCTCATCGACAAGGCTCACTATCGTAGTAGCCAATTCTCCTAACACCGATACAGTATCAATGCCCAGTACTTGCCCCCAAGGCCCTAGCTGAGATCGAGACAGACCGAGTGCATGAGATCTGGTCCGATTGCTGCCACAAACTCGGCAATCTTCGTCTTCAACCCTCCAGCAGGAGAGAGTGACTGGCTGGCCCAGATGACCAGGTCAGAAGTCTCGTACTCCATGCCAGACTTGTCGATACGCAATGACAGATGATCCAGATCTATCGCCTGCATTTGATTCAAAGAAGCGACGCCAGGCATGTCGCTTTCGAATATGGATGAGGGCTCCTCGCCATCACTTTCAACCTCTGGCTGGGCGCCGTCGCTGTCGTTGTCCTCACGTGTCGTGCCGTTCATCTCCTTGTCGCCGTCGGACTCGACCATGGCGCGCTTCTCGGCCGAATAGCTGACAAACGGCTTCTTGTCGAGAAGATCCAGTATGGGCTTGTCGAGCAGGTCCCAGGTCAGGCTTTCCGGGTCGAGAATGTACTGCGGAAGGTAGTCAATCTTGTACCGCATCTTTGGGCAGCTGTGGATGTAGAACCCCGGGTACCAATACCGGTAGCCGCCTTCCGCAGCTAGGGCGATTTCTTGCAGGGCGCCAAGCTTGCCCGGCATAAATGTGTGGATGGACTCGTGATAGAGAAAGTAGACTGCGCTGACGCAATGTGGCAAAAGGTCCAGCACGCCAATGGCGACAAGCTTGCCGTCCAACCGATAGCAGTGGTGGAAGGAGCCGAGTTGCATCTCCTTTCCTTGGTCGTTGATGACTGTCTTTCTTCGAACGGGAGAGTCACACAGGAAACGCCGGAAACCGCCCCTGGAGATGTCGCCCGATCCTTCCTTGTGGACGACGCGCTGGTAGTTCTCATACACGGCGTACTTCTCTTCGGTGAACGAGTCGTCTTCAAGCGTGACGGTGAAGTTGTGTGCAGGGTCAGGGGGAGTCTTCAGGTTCTTTGCCTCGGCCTCGTGGATCCGCTCGACGAGACTGAACTCGGCATCTCGCTTCTTGGTTTCCTCGCGTGACCGTGGATAGAGACGGGCGGCAGCAGCTGCATACTCTTTGCCAATGACATACCGGTTGAACCTGTTCACGGCCTGCCGTTGGTCCCTGGACGGTTTGAAGGCGGCAGTGTCCTGGCGGATGGTGTAGTGCGGGCAGCAGGACTGTCGCTGGTTGGGTCGATAGAGGAGGCGGCCGGAGCGACGCCAGTATCGGTCCAACAAGTCCTGATAAAGCTCCGGGGTCAAGGATGTCGCAGATGCGTAGTATGAATAGCCTGGGCAACGGGCGTGTCAATTTTGCTGATCACACCTCAGTGTGAGGCTGTGAGGCTTCGTGTCATGCGGATGAAACGAGAGGCCCGATATGAGCGTACCAGTGGACACTCACGTTTTGTCTTGCCCATCCCTCCTTTATTTCCACTTCCGCAGTAGCCACAACTGGATGAATTGGTGTAGCCTGGTCAATCTCGTTGGCACTGCTCGTTGGCATGGATGGGAAAAGTGAAAAGGAGCGCTGGGATACACTGAACTCACCAATGGGGCTCACGTACGACAACTCGTCCTCTTCCAGGGGATGCGAGATGAATGCCGCCATGATTGCCCAGAATGATCGTCGTGGGCTTCCTAGGTATTGGCGTATATGCGTGTGCGCGCTGTGTGCTGATCACTGAATGAATGAATAACAGCCAGGCGCCTTCCCATGCTCAAGTTGGTGATAGGTGTCCCACGGCTAGGAGTAAGCTCCCAGCGAGGCGGGGTAAGGCGGCCTGTGGGAGGGCAGACGAGCACCTTACAGGACTCGGCCAGCAATCCGGCAATGCTTTCAAGTGCCCCTGGAGACGAGTCGGAGTCCAACTTGAAAAGTTACGCTTGGAGCAAGCAAGGACAGCTAAGCCGAGCACTGGGATGTGAAGCAGTGCAGTGCAATGTCGTTATTGTCACAATATGCAGTAGCTCGACCTACCTAGGGTGAGTGGGCTAAACTGCCCCTCATACCTAGGTACCTAGGTACCTACGGTATCCAGTGTCTAAGGTAGGTACCTAGGCACAGTGGGTACCTGATAGACGTCCGCACGGCCACGATCGTCTGTGGCTGCTACCACGTCTCGGAGGAAGGAAAAGCTCGGGCCCTGCATTGTTACCTTCCAACCTACTGTACCTTATACCGGAGGCACCTACCTTACCTGGTACCTCAGGTAGGTAACAAGGTAGGACGACCTGATGCCTTCCGCGATGCTTCCCTGGTTTCGAGTCCACACGTAGGAACCGACAAGGCTGCTCCAAGACCCCTGGAGGTGTCGAAGAAGTCCTGAGCCGTCCAGGGACCAACTCATGCATCTACAGTTCTGTGACACGATGATACGATGGCACGATATTCCTCAATGGAAGAATTCAAGCAGCTCGATGGACCCTGGATCACCCATGTCCGCTCCGTTGCCTCATCGGTCTTTTTCGAGGCGAACCTCCTTCCGCTCTGAACGGCCGCATCACCAGATCATGATTAGTGAAATATCTCACGGTGCCCAATGGCTGCGAATCACCGACCTCCGAGACATCGAGGCTACTCCGGTACTCCAGACCTCGAGCAGGGCGGATCCCCATTTCTGGTTCGGGGGCCAGAGACTGTCGACGGCAGAAGCACGTCAAGAGGACACTGCGCGATCAGGCCAGGATGCTCGCCGCGTCGTCTACTGTCGCGGGACTTTTGCAACCTAACGCTGGATCGGATCGGCCTGGTGAGCAGGCAAGATCCCACCTCGGCGTCGCACAGGGCATGGATGGGATCGATGCACTGGAATCGAAACGGACGTGATCGACATGGCCCTCGAAAAAACCCCGCCGCAAAACGACGAGGACAGGGCGCCGCGAACTTTTCGACGATGGTGTCACATATGCAATTGAAGGCCGCAGCTGTCAACTGCAGCGCAGCACAGTGCAGCATGCGGCTTGATGGCCAGCGGCTACGCGACAGTTCCGACCAGGAATGGCCACACGATCTCGCCTCGACTGCAGCGTCTGAATATCGTGACCTCTTCTGCATTCGGCACGCATTGATGATGGATGGAAATAGGATGCTTGGGTGGATGGATGGCTGCACGGCTTACTGGACACGACACCAGAGCCAATTTTGTCTCCGTCACGGTTCGTGCTCCGATCGTCTTTGAGGCCGATTCTTACCAGTCGAGCATGCAGCCTCGAATTGTTTGATGGCTGGGTCTGTCGCCAAGAATGAGTGGTCGACTGAATGTGAGGCAACCAGTCAGCTGTCGTGGCCACCCTTGTGCGTTGCTCGTCGCCAATCGCCCTGGCTCCTGGATCTGTCAAACCTGGCCGTCTGCGGCTTGCTCCTCGACGGCCGTCCTGTGCTCCGCTCCGCGCGCTCCGTGGAGACAGCTGCCATCAGGTCGTTTGATCGTTTGATCCATAGACTCCTGCCATCTCTGTCCGCCTACAGGGGACGAACCGAGGAGCCACTGCACAGCGCAGGGAGAGACCCGATTGCTCTCCCCAACTCCTACCCTTGGCTTCGCGCCCACTCCTCAGACAATCCTTTGGCCATGGTCCTTTGGCCATGGGGAAAAGCACAGCCAGCTCACGACACGCAGACGAGTCCACTTGGAAACCACGTCACGCTGCTTGGCTTGGATTGGAACTGTACTTGTGGACGAATGGCAAGAAAAAGGATGGTATTGAGTGCGAGCCAGCCTAACCAGCCCAGCTGGAACAGCCTGACCTACCCAGCATGGAAATTTGTCGTCATTGACCTTCGCGTCTATGCAACGTTGAAGCCGTCGATCTTGACCCCTCTCCGATGCTTGACTCAGTTGCTGGAACCGACCAAGACAACGAGGGGGGGGGGGGGGGGGGGCATCCCCCCTTTTTGGGGGTGGGCCTCAAAAATGATCTGGTGAATTGGTTTTTGACCACAGGACCCGCGTCACGACGCCCCCCAATGGGGCCCGCCTGCTAAAAAACAGACTGGCGCCGGGGACTGCCTAGTTCCCCCTTTCGACCCCAGCAATGGCGACTCTCCCGCTGCGCCTCGCTCTCCCGGGGAACGTGCCCCTGCGTCTCAACATCGGCGGGGTCACGGTGCTGCTCCTC